GGTGCCAGTGCTGCTAGAGTTGAGGGCAGAGGGAGTCATGTACTGTCAGGTGACTCTGTCATCCCTTCCTGAGATTTTTTTTTTTTCAGTACTGAGGTTTGAACTTTTTTGTGATGGGGTTTTTTTCAAGATAGGGTCTCTCGAACTATTTGCCCGCCCTGACTTTGAACTGCAATCCTCCTGATCCCTGCCTCTTGAGTAGCTAAGATTACAGGTGTGAGCCACTGGCACCGGCTACTTCCTGAGATTTTGAGGGCCTGTTGGATGTTGGAGACTGACTGAGAGCTGGAGTGAAGGTGGCATGGGGCAAGTAGAGGGCAGCCAGAATAAGATGTCTGACATTACAGAGCTCACTGTCCAGCAGAGACCTACTGTGGAGCAGCAGTCAAGGCACGTAGTGCTAGGTGTTTGGAGCAGGCAAGCATCTGGAGGGGAAGGCTCTAGGTCCCTGGAGGTGAGGCGACACTTCCAGAGAGAGACATACCTAAGCTGCAGTCTGAAGGCCTAGAGCTGAAGGCATTGGTGGGCATGGGGCCAGGGGTGGAGTGTTAGCGACAGGTGGTGCAGAGACCCAGAACCTTGACTGTGTGCTGAGAAAGCACTGGGGGACGATGATGACTCCCCCACTTTGTTCCTTCAGTGCCAATGTCTCATCAGCCATTAGGAAATGCAGTAGAAGATAAGGAACCCCTCAAAAGGCTTCCATGTCCTTAGGGGCTGTGAACATGGCAGAGCCCCTTCCTATGGGTACCCTCTGCCTCATGCTTTTCACACCCTGGTGTGTACTACCAAAGACCACTTTACTGTTTGTTGTGTCCCTACTTTATGTAGTATCTCTCCTGTCATGAGAGATGAGAGCTGAGTGCTCTGACTGCTGCTTCATGCCCAGCAAATACTTTTCACAGCTCTCCAAAAAGTGTGGATTATTATTCCATATGTGCATGTTTTTTTTTGTTGTTGTTGTTTTGTATTTGGGTGGTTCTGGGGTTTGAACTCATGGCCTTGTTCTTGCTAGGCAAGTGCTCTACTACTTGAGCCATTGCACCAGCCTTTTTTTGTGTGGGATATTTTCGAGGTAGGGTTTCATAAACTGTCTTGGCTGGTTTTGAATTGCGATCTTCCTGATCTCTGCCTCCTGAGTAGCTGGGATTACAGGCGTGAGCCACTGGTGCCCAGCATGTGCGATGTTTTGAATGCACTATATTATTTATAGCTGCTCCACAACAAAGCTTGCTTGGTTCTCCAAGCCCATCTCCTTTCAAAGGCCTGCCCTTCTTGGGCTTGGGTTCCCAGGTTGGCTGCCCACTGTCCTGCTAGGGCTGACATTCATCTGCTCCTTGCCAGGTGTGGCCCATGGATTGTCAAGAACATTATCCAGTGACCTGAGTGAGGGTAGGATGAGGAAGACTGTGCAGGGCCTTGCTCACCTGTACCTGTCTCTGTCCACTTCATGTTGCTGAGAGTCATTGTCCTTCCAAGCCCTCAAAGGCATTGCTCTGTGGGCTGAGACATTGCGTGGTGCTCAGGCAACCGAGATGGCTAGTTCTCTGCTTACTGTGTTCCATAGAAAGAATCAGACGTCCTGGTATCTGTCTGCTTCTGCTGCCACAGGCCCTTAGCTAAGCAGGAAAACTGAAGTCTTGTCATTCCGCTGCCTACTTAATGACTTGCAGTTTCCAAGGGTTAGAGCCGAGTACAGGTCAGCTGGGTCCTTGGTGTTGGACAGGCCATGGTCCCTTTCTGAACTTGGGGTCCTCTTACAACTCTCGATCTGTTGGTAGAGTCCTCATAGCTGAAGAACTGAAGGCCCATTTTCCAGCTGGGTGTTGGTGTGACTGTTCTCGGCAGTGTTGTGTTTAGCTATTTGTTCCTTCTAGCCCAGCAGGAACAGCCTCTCTGACTTCTCTCTGCAGTAGCTGGAGAACCTCTATGCTTTGGTGGGTTTGAACAGCTAGGGCTAATTCTCTTTTGCCAGGTAGCAACAGCCCCAGGAAGGGCATCCTAGCACCTCTACTGGCTCCACACACAGAAGTGAAGTCCTGAGGCCCAGTGAGAACAGGAGGATGTTGTGTACTGCTAAGTGCGTTGACTGCTATGTTCAATGGAAAGAACTTCTTTGCTGTTCTGTAGTCATGTTCCAGCCCCAAAACTGCTCAGAAATGGACCACATCTGGTGTAGGCGATGGCTACCCAGTTGGGAATCTGCTTTACAGTCTACAAGGAAGTGGAAGGAGAGGCCTGAGAAGGAGGTCTTACCTGAAGGCAGATGGTTCATTGTGCTTAAGAGATGTGCAGCCAGGCAGAGGCTGCTATTCTGAAGAGGCACACTTGGAGGCTCAGCAGTTAGCTCTGTCCTCTCTGAGTCCACAGCTGACCCTAGGGCTCATGGCCTCGTGGGGGCCTGCCTATGCTCTGAGACTTTGAGGAGCTGGTGTGACTGCTCAGCCAGTATCCCTGTCTGCTTGGCTAAGAAGCAGCTGTGGTCAAAGAAGCTTCAGGTGTGGAACCATGGCTGCCACAGCTGACAGGGCTGTAGCGCAGGGCTTCTCAGAGTCATGGCATATTGAGCATGGCTTTTCAGGTGGATGACAGGGTGTGTCCAGTGAGAAGCTAAAGCTGTCACTCGAGGACGGCTTCCTGAGTACAACTTGGACCTGCTCTGGGCCAGTGCTTCTCTCATGCAGCTATTCCTGTATTTCACTAAAGTTGTAATGTTTCCACTTACTTAAGGTTCTGAAGACTCTGAAGATGAAGTAGAAACATTTGTGGCAGCAGCAGATACTCAGGGGAAGCTGGAAGCCAGCAGTGCACTCAATTCTGATGATGACACAGAGAGCTGCCCCATTTGCCTCAATGTGTTCAGAGACCAGGCTGTGGGCACACCAGAGACCTGCACCCACTACTTCTGCCTGGACTGCATCGTTGAGTGGTCCAGGGTAAGTCAGCTCTTGCTGGGCCCCCTCAGATTGACCCCCACCTGCAGTTACTAGGCCTAGTTCTCTGGCAGAAACTGAGCACGGGACTGAGGCATGTTGCCTTCCTCACAGCCTTCAAAAGCATCCCCTCTAAAACTTCTTGTTGTGAAACTTTTCAAAGTAGAATAGGGCAAAGATTGACCAGGGAACATAAGCCAGACTTGGACTGAGGAGACCTGCTCAGACTGGCACCAGGCAGCTTCTGGTGTTGGGAGAAGAGACTTTCCTATCAGTGTGTGTTGGCCAGCTCACACCACATGTACTGACACATGGATCCAGAAGACTTCCAAAAGAAAATACATGTGTCTATTTCACAAGGACAGACAGAACAGAGGTTTAGGACTGACGCGAGTATGAAGAGGTGAAGTAACACAGTCTTGGCCCAGAAGCACTGGCCTGATGAGGATGGCTAGATTCACAGACTTGTAAGGGATGTCACATGTATGACCCTAAAGCTAGTGTACCGCATGTCCACGGGACTCAAATGCAGATGGGCAGGGTGTGATACCATCTGCCCTGTGATAAGGAGGGCAGAGCCCTGTGCTAGCAGTTCACACTATGAGTTGGTCTATAAGAAACCCCAGGGAGATACAGCTCCCACACAACCTACAGGGTGGAATGCAGGGTGGGGTGGGGTGGTAGACCATGTAGACATCAGGACTTAGACTTGTTGAACCCACTGAAATACACAGCTAAAGGGAGTATGTATTATTCTGTACGTATAGTTTACACTGTTGGCAAAAGCAAGGAGAAAATACTTGTAGCATGTGGATGGTTAGAATCCACACAATGAAAACAAATGTAAAAATGTATCGGAGGTGTCCAGGGTCTGTGGGAAGTTGGCAGAGGAGCTGAGCAGAGGTTAACCAGGGGCTTGAAAAATCAATAAATGCAGGCCGATAGGCCGCCCCTCACTCTCCTCCCTTCTCTCTTCTATTTTTCCTCATTAGTAATATGCCACAAATAGAGCGGAGGGGTGGTAGCTCCACAAGGCCGGCATCCATTTTCTTCACTCCAAGTCCCAGCATCTTCACGTGGGGCCCTGTACAGACAGACATTCAGTGAATAATGATGTCAGTGTAAAAAGAACTTTTGACTTCTTGATAGTAAAAGTGAATCTACAGGGTTCTAATGCAGTTTTTATTTCTCACAGAATGCGAATTCCTGTCCAGTTGACCGAACAATATTTAAATGTATTTGTGTTCGTGCTGAGTTTGGTGGTAAAATCTTAAAGAAGGTAAGTGAAGATGCTGCCTGCCCCTGCTTGTGGCTTGTGCTCTTGTCTTATGGGAAAGAGCATGCTTTTTTTGTGTGTGTGTTCATGGTATTGATGTTTAAACTCAGGCTTTCACACTTGGTAGGCGCTCTGCCACTTGAACTACTTTGCTAGTCCAAGAGCATGCTTTAAAAGGTGCTTTGCCCTATGAAATGAGTGGGTATTAGTTAAATGTATTTTAGAAATGCACTAAAGTGCCTTTGTGCCCTGTGCATGAAGCACAGAGCTGTTGCTGCTCGACTGGGTTGTGGTGCCAGGTGGGGGCTGTGGCAGAGATGTTGAAGTTCCTGGGCCTCCACTCCTCACCCTTTCTCACCACAGGGTGTCTTTCTGGACCCTCGACATTGCAGGTAGAGAAGAGGGCAAGCTGGGTATAAGCTGAGGCCCACTCTGGGGCCAGTACTGGGTTATTTACTGTTAGGACTAGAAGGAGGAAGGTGTTTGCTGTCTCACTTGCCTTTGTTTACCTTCTGTCGTGTTTTGTTTTGATTTTTTGCTGTGCTGGGGATGGAACTCAGGGCCTTGCACAAGCACTCTGCCACTGAACTACATCTCCAGCCCTTAATTTTTTGACATAGGGTCTCACTGTGTAGCTCAGGCTGGATTTGAACTTCCTATCCTCCCAAGTACTGGGATTACTGGTATGTACCACTATACTTGGCTTTTTTTTTTTTTTTTAAGTGCTGGGGATGTGTGTACCAGCCAAGCCCCCACCACTGAGCCACTCCTGTTGTTGATGACCAGCACTGAAAGGCCCATAGGGATTTGTCCATCTATCTGAGATCCCAAAATACTAGAAAAGGCTTGGTGTGTTTCCATAATACACACTTAGTTTTTGTTTACAAAGCACAAAAAGCCACAGTTACAGGGAAACTTGGGCTCGCATGTGTAGATTTCTCAAGGCAGGTGGCAACCTCCTCACATTGACGTCTTGGGTCTGTGTTGCTAGTGATCCATTTTGTTGCTCGTTCAGATGTCTCTGTCCCTGGCTACCGCCTGTACCTGGGCAGCTTCAGTTCTGTTACTTAGGTTATTTTCTTTACTTGAAGTAGCTGCTAGTGATGTGTAGGTCTCAAGCTCTCAAGGTAGTCCTGTTGGTGAAAGATTTGGAGTGACTGGATCCAGCAACTAAAGGTATAGGGCTGGCAGGAGACCCTTGCCATAGAGTAAAGGCTGTCACATGTCACTCATAAGGGCTGATATTCTAGAGAGAGAAAAGGGGCTGGTTGTTGGTATAAGGGGCAAGTATCCTATTTGGAGCAAGCGTGTCTACAGACCAGCCTATTTCACACTCAAGTGTCTGGAAACCAGTAGTGCTCCAGAGGGTGAAGTATGGATGTGTGCTCTCAACTCATGGCTGTCATCACCTCAGTTGAGCCGCGTGTGAAGCGTCACGTTTGGCAGGTGTGTTTCTGAGTCTTTGCTATGGAGGCTGTGCTTTAGAGTGGTCCTTTGATTTTACACTTACACCTGTCTCCTGCAGCATTGACCCACCAAGCCTGATATCCCCAGCACCTTGCAGTAACTCTGGGTGGCAAGCCTCTGGCTCCTCTTCACGTGTCTTGCTTGCCTTTTGTTTCTTTCTTCCTGAGACAGAGTCCCATCATGTAGTCCAAGGTCATGATCCTCCTGCTTCCGCTTCCTAGTGCTTGCTTTCTGTTGAGTCAGTTCCTCTGTTACCTACCCTGAAGTAGAGACAACATGAAGGTTCCCATATGCATGTTAATTCAGGACTTCTGGGCCTGTGGAGTCTGAACAGATCTTAGACCAATAGATGTGCTCTAGATAGCCACACATCTTATTATGAATTGACCATGGGGATTCTGGGCTGTGTCTGGTAACCAACAGTTCCGTCTTCAGATTCCAGTGGAGAACACTAGAGCCCGTGAGGAGGAGGAAGTGGAGGAGGAGGACCCGACCTTTTGTGAGGTGTGTGGCAGGAGTGACCGTGAGGACCGGCTCCTGCTCTGTGATGGCTGCGACGCTGGGTAAGGGTGGTATGGCCTTCCTTGTGCCTGAGCAGGCTGTGCGGTTGGGTGCCAAGGCTCCCTATTTTGTCATTGGGTTCCATGGGTGAGGAACGAGCCCCACAAACAGCGGCATGGGGGTCTCCTGGCTCCTGCCACCTGCACTTCCACCAAAAAGCATTCTGGGGCTGCTCAAGAGGTCTTACAATACATCAAGACAAAAGAAAGGCTAGGGAACCCCAAAAGGTTGAGGGCAGCCTCAGGAGGGGTTGATGCAGGCCCAGGCTTTGAGTGAGGCATTCCTGGGACTGCATGGTCCTAGTTGCAGGCTCTTTCACCCCGAGGCCAGTGGGGCCAAGTGTCTGGAATTACCAACGTACGTTATTTGTTGAGATTGGGACTGGGGGAAGTCTTGCTAATTTTTTGCCCAGGGTGGCCTCTAACCTCCATCCTTCTGATCTCTGCCTCTTGAGTAGCTGGGATTATAGGTGTGTACCACCATACCTGGCTCCCTTCCCTTTTCTTAGCTCTGCTTGTCCCCTGTGTTGTCACTCAACTGCAAGAGAGTTGGGGTCTCCTGCTTTGTGTTCCAATGACCCTGGCCTCTGGGAGCTCAGCCTGCTGGTTTCCCTTCCTTTGTTTGGTATCTTTGGTATCCCCCCCACCTAACCTCTTGCCAGGGGCTTTGGCTGTTGTTTGTGAAAAGTTTTTTTTGTTTTTTTCATTTTTTTCTTTCTTTTATCATTTTTACATTTACTCACATGTGTGTACATTGTTTGGGCCATCTCCCCCTCCTACTCCCCCACCCCCTCCAGCTTCTGGGCAGAACCTGTTCACCCTTCTCTTCTCCGATTTTGTTGAAGAGAAAACATAAGAGGTAATAAGAAAGACATACCATTTTTGCTAGTTTGAGATAAAGATAGCTATATAGAGAGATTCCTGGTGTTGCTTCCATGCACTGTGTATTGCAACCCACATTGGTTCATCTCTACCAGAACTCTTCACTACTTCCTAGTCCCCTTCCCATAGTGGCTTCTGCCAGTTTAAGATTACTATATTCGCTCCTCTGTAGTGAGCACATCAACCACATTCAAGTTTTAGGTTTCTTTCCCTTTCCCTATTCCTTCCGTGCATGTTCTCCGCTTAGTGTGTGACCCATGTCCAGTGATGTTACTGCATTTGTTTTAGGTATATAATCCACACATACAGGAGAACATGTGGTTTGTGGCCTTCTGAGCCTGGCTAACTTCACTTAAGATGATGTTTTCTAGTTCCATCCATTTACTTGCAAATGAGAAAATTTCATTGTTCTTTGTGACTGAGTAAAATTCCGTTGTGTATAAGTACCACATTTTCTTCTTTTTTTTTTTTTTCATTTTTCTTTTATTATTCATATGTGCATACAAGGCTTGGTTCATTTCTCCCCCCTGCCCCCACCCCCTCCCTTACCACCCACTCCGCCCCCTCCCTCTCCCCCGCCTCAATACCCAGCAGAAACTATTTTGCCCTTATTTCTAATTTTGTTGTAGAGAGAGTATAAGCAATAATAGGAAGGAACAAGGGTTTTTGCTGGTTGAGATAAGGATAGCTATACAGGGCATTGACTCACATTGATTTCCTGTGCGTGTGTGTTACCTTCTAGGTTAATTCTTTTTGATCTCACCTTTTCTCTAGTTCCTGGTCCCCTTTTCCTATTGGCCTCAGTTGCTTTTAAGGTATCTGCTTTAGTTTCTCTGCATTGAGGGAACAAATGCTAGCTAGTTTTTTAGGTGTCTTACCTATCCTCACCCCTCCCTTGTGTGCTCTCGCTTTTATCATGTGCTCATAGTCCAATCCCCTTGTTGTGTTTGCCCTTGATCTAATGTCCACGTATGAGGGAGAACATACGATTTTTGGTTTTTTGAGCCAGGCTAACCTCACTCAGAATGATGTTCTCCAATTCCATCCATTTACCAGTGAATGATAACATTTCGTTCTTCTTCATGGCTGCATAAAATTCCATTGTGTATAGATACCACCTTTTCTTAATCCATTCGTCAGTGGTGGGGCATCTTGGCTGTTTCCATAACTTGGCTATTGTGAATAGTGCCGCAATAAACATGGATGTGCAGGTGCCTCTGGAGTAACAGTCTTTTGGGTATATCCCCAAGAGTAGTACCACATTTTCTTAATCCATTTTTTGAAGAGTTTTTCTGCCATAAAAATGTGGAGGGTTATGGAAACTTCTGCCTTGGGCATGTACCCTAAAAGATATGAAAAGAACCAATGAGGCTGGTAGATATGGAAGGTTCCCTAAGACAGGAGGTAGCAGTTTCAAGGTTTGGGCAAGAAGCCTTGTGCTGTTGTGGCTGAAGACTTGGGGCCAGTCCTGTTCTTGCAGCCCCTGCACTGAGTAGTCCAACACAGTCTACTCACCCTTCTTGTTGCTTGAGCTTTTGTACTTGCTTACCTCCTTCCTTCACTTGTGCTCTTCTGTCCCTGACCTCTGTCATCCATGCTGTTCTGTGCCTGCTCCTCACCCTCCCGTCAAGTACACTCTTGTGTGCCTCACTGTCCCGCTCCTGCTCTTCTGTGCTTGCCCTCGTTTTCTTGTTAGCACCCTTTTGCACTTGCCCTTGCTCATGTTCTGCTCATACCTGCTGTTTGTGCATGAGCCACTGACTGTGCGTTTGTGGGTGGTATGTGTCACACAAGCCCTGCTCATCTTCCCAAGGCGGGCCTGAGCCTCTGGGGGCTCGGTGCCCATGTATGAGCTCCTGTCTGCCTCCCCAGGCTTCTCTAGCCATTGCTTGTTGCTGTCTTCCTTCCAGTAGCGATTATGGCTGCACCTTGGCTCTCACAGGCTTTCAAACTCAGATAGTCTGGTCTGCCTTTCTTTCTTGAGTTTTATCTTGAATCCATATTTTGTTACAATTTATTGAATGCCTCAACCCTGTTGATCTTCACCTCTTCAGGATTCTGTCAGATGTCTTCTGTCTCTTGTCCTGTACTATGTGTTGATTTTTGGTTTTTGTTTGTTTTGTTTTGTTTTTTTAATGTGGTCTGGCTGTGTTGCCCTAGCTGATCTTGAACTGCTGGGCTCAACTGATATTCTTGCCTCAGCGTCCTGATTAACTGAGACTATTGGTGTGTGCCACTGCACCTGGCTCTAGCATGTGCTGATTTTGTTGGTGAGAGCCAAGAGGATTGGGATACACGTCGGGTGTCCCCAAGATCACTGAACACACTGTTGATGACTTCATTACTAACTTGTCCATTCTGACCATAAGCAGAATCCTCAAAAAAAAAAAAAAAAAAAAAAGTGTTCTTTGTTGCTTTTCCTTGTTTGTTTTGTTTTTGGCAGCACTGGGGTATGAACTCAGGGTTTTATGCTTCATGTTTGCTAGCAGACACTCTACCACTTGAGCCCACTCTCCCAGCCTTTTTTTATATTGGATATTTTAAAGATTGATTCTCATAAACCATTTGTCTGGGTTGGCTTTGAACCTCTGTCCTCCTGTTCTCTGCCTCCCAAGTAGCTGGGATTACAGTTGTGAGTCACTGGAGCCTAGTAAGAAATAGTATTTCATATGAACTCTGGTAGCTTAGTGCTAGTACATAAAAGTACTGATGGATCTAAAACATTAAAACTAACAAACGTACTGATTCTTGTACTTGTAAGCATCTGTGTACCGTTTTCAGTACTGGGGAATGACATCAGGGCCTCATGCATGCTAGCCAAGTGGCCTACCATTTGAGCCATGCCCCCAGCTGCGTCCATGTACTATTAACATTTTGCAGTTTGCTGAGTTTTCTTACAATTACCTCACACGTCTAAAAATTTCTCATTCATTTTGAAATGAAAGTACAAGGTTATCTACGGGTGAACCAAAGTTATGTGAAATGAAGTATAAATTATTTCTGAATTAAAAAAAATTACAACCCAATTTAAAGGTACCTGATGACAGGGAGAAAGTTCTGAGCCACCCCCCACCCCCCCCGCCTCTGGGTTGTAGGTCAGTTCTTGGCAGCCACCAATGCGTCATACTCATGGGGTTTGGAGCTCCTGGTATAGGCTGAGCTGTGGGTCCCTGCACCATAGTTGCATGGGACTTGGCAACTCACCTTGTCTGTGTGGCTGGATTTGAATCTGCAGCCCATTTCTTCTTCCTTGGAGTGAGTTATGTTAGGTACAGACCTGTCTGTCATGGCGATCAGTAGACGACTTTTCCCTGGCCTCCACTTGGGCTGCTGGGGTACAGTAGCATCTCACTTTGATAGCTGCTAGAGGTCAGCACAGAGAACCCAGTTAAATCTGTTGGATCCTTGGAGTCTTTGCAAGGAGTCACTGGTGATTCTTGATTTCTCTTTCCCCAGGGAATAGTCAGGGGTGATCTTAGGATAGAATTTACTACCTATTTTTCACAACTCCCCAGTCCTTGAGTGCTGTTAGGAGGCGTTGGCCTCCCTTCCTGCTTGTCTGCCTCCCCCTATCTTTGGTAAGGCCCAGTGAGAGCCATATAGCTGGCAGCTTTCCGTGGAGTAGGGTGTGTGTATCGTGGGTTCTCTTGTTCATTCCCGTTATGAGCACAGAGAAGTTAAGTCCTATTGAACCCAGGCTTTGATTTTCCAGGAAAGATCAACTTAGCTTCCTTCCTTTGTATGTTTGTGCCCAGCTCAGGACCACTTGGTCTTTTGCTGCATGGAAGGGCACAAGATTACCCATGCCAGCTAGCACCGCTTTTTGTGAACTTTGTTCTGGGAAGGCTGGATGGAAGCAATTGAAAAATAGAGCCATGGTTAGGCGGTATTCAGTTTAGCTTGGATAAAAAGACCTTCTCTTCATTATTTTAGCATGAGGCACTGACATTTGAAACTCTTGTGACCACTGTGACTGATGGGAGGTGTGGAAGGATGGGCTGACATCTCCTGTCATGGGGGGACAATCTTCTAGAAGGTAGGCATCACGGGCACCTGCCTTGTGAGTTCAGAGCCAAGATGGGAGATTCGCTGATGGCTCTGCTACATTCTGGTCAGCCTGGGGGTGTCAGCTGAGCCTCTGTGGTGTTACCTGCTCAGTCTGGCCACAGGAGCAGAATGCCACAGACTGGACAGTGTAAATGGTAGGCCTTTGTTTCACTAATTTGGAGACTAGAAGGTCAAACTGCCAATGAGGTTGGTTCCCGGTGAGGGCTTTCCTCCTGTGTGCTTGTGGGGCCTTTTATCTATGCAGCTTCTGGTGTCTCTTCTTCCTCTTACAAGGTCGCCAGTCCTGTAGGATCAGGACTTATGACCTCTTAACTTTTGCTACCTCCTTAAAGCCCCATCTCCAAAAACCTGTCACTGGGGTTAGGGTTTTAACTGATGGATTTCAGGATCTGTTGGAAAAACAAAACTCAGACTTTCTCTCACTGAATCACAAGTTTGAGGCCAGTTTGGGCTACATAGCAGGACCCTCTTTTAAAAACATTAAAATAAAAACTGTGCTCAAGCAGCTCACAGAGCTCAGGAAATACCTTGACTGTTTTTATTATAGAGGGTATCACAAAGGGTACAGATGACAGGAAGCACAGGGGGTGAGGTATGGGGACGACACACATCTTCCACACCCTTTCTGGGTGTACTTTCCAGAAACCTTGTATGCCCAGCTGCCCCAACTCTGTGAGCCCTGTCCTTGTGGGTCTTTAAGGAGCCTGCATTGCGTAGGTGTGGCTGAAGCATGGACATCTATGTGGAAATGTGATTGGCCAGGGGAAAGACCAGCACTGATAAACAGCAAGGTTTTGGCTCAGGTTCCACAGCCTGTCCTGTAAGCACAGAGTAGAGCTCCTTCTGAAGTAGGGGTTCCATCATCTGCCATCAGACAGTCAAGCAGGGAATATCAGTTCCTGTGACTTATTTTGGAGAGGGGGTTACAAGGCAGGAGCCATGGGAGACTGTGGCCAGGCCCAGAACATGTGTCCCACCATATAACGTATGCACATTCAGTCTGTAACAAGGTGCACTGAAGGCCAGGGCATATCTGGATGCTGACTCTGCAACTTGCTTCTGCAATCAGTGACTGTACCTCTTGTTCCTATAGGTACCACATGGAGTGTTTAGACCCCCCCCTCCAGGAAGTGCCTGTGGATGAGTGGTTCTGTCCAGAGTGTGCTGTCCCTGGTGCTGCCTCTGCCAGTGGTAATGTACTTACCCCCCTCTCCTGTTAGTGCTTATGTGCTGCCCATCCTGCAGAGGGCTTGAGTCTTATTTTGTCTGCAGTCCCAGAGAGGCAGAGAAGGACCTTGGGTCAGGGTCTAGTGTAGTGGGTAGGGGGAAGACCTTGACTTCTGGTGGGGAAGGGTTTTCTGTCCTGCTCTTGGCTGGGAGCTAGAGGAGCTCACTTTGAGCCTATGGTAGGTCATTGAGTTGGGACTTCTGGTCCTCAAAGTCTAGAGGACCCGGCTCTGGGGAGAAGCTGCTGTCCTGTCACTGGGCCCACCTGGGTAGGCAGCCCACTGGGGTGAGCCTGTGACTTGTAGGGTGTGTGCCCCAGCAGCCCAGGGCTCTCTTCTTCCAAGATACGGCTCCTGTGAGTGAGGAGGAAGTCTCCCTGCTGTTAGCCGATGTAGTACCCACCACCAGCAGGCTGAGGCCTCGCACAGGCAGGACCCGGGCCATTGCCAGGACACGGCAGAGTGAGAGAGTGAGAGCCACTGTGAACCGGAACCGGATCTCCACTGCCAGTAGGGTGCAGGTAAGTGGCCAACACTGGGCCTGTCCTGCCCAGAGCTGGGGGTGCTGGACTCAAGGGGTATCATTGGTAGTGCACAGTCTGTATCACCCCCATGCACCAGGCCGCATACTGTTAGCCTAGTGAGAGGGCACATGAGTACACAGAGGGTACCACACCTCACCTGTTTGCCGTCCAGCCCAGCAGGGACCTCTCTCAGAGTAGGGGAGCCAGGTGCTCAGAACCTGATCCACAATGGATGGGTTAATGGTCTTGTGAAATTCCCTTCTGTGTTCTGGAGGCCCCATGCTGGCTTCTCATCCCATGAGAGCACCTTCCTTGCATATAGCTCCTGGCACTCAGTGTTTGATAGTTGCTTCCTCTGCCCTAGGGTCTGAGGCAGTTGGCAGTTCCTTCTCTGAGGTCAACTGCTCCTGTGGGCAGCACAGTGACCACTTGACCTAAGTTCCAAATGGTTTGGGGAGACTGGGGAGCTGTCCCCCATCCAGTGCTCTGTCCACCTCAGTTTGCTTCCACCTGAGTCTCAGTGGATACTCCAATCTATGGCTTCTCACGCCTTCCCATGTCCACCACCTCCTTGAGGTACTATTTCTCACTCATTTCATAAATCAACCTCTTTTCTCTTCCAACCATCTAGTCCCTGCCAGGGTCCCTTTTACCTGCACACCTGCTTTACTGGGACCTGTGTGAGGGCTCTGCTCTCTGCTCCCACCTGTCCCCTTCCTTCCTCCTCTTGGAATTCTGTTTGCTCATTGATACCTGCCTAACCCTCCCGGACCATTTTCACCCCAAGCTTGCGTCCTGGAAATCCTGTTAGGAACTCTGCTCCTTGTGGCTGTGCTGGCCTCACTCTTCATGAGTGGAGGGAGGTAGAGCTAGCCTGAGAGTGTTCTGGCTTCTCTGGTTGACTTCCCCATTCTAAGGGTTCTGAGCAGGAGTTTGTAATGGCACTGTCCCCTCATATGGTCCTGCTTGGCATGCCTCCTTGGAGAGGGTAGTCTTAAATGTGCTCATTCACTGACCAGCGCTGTCTCTTGTGTGCAGCATGTGCCAAGGTACCTCATGTCTTCTCTGCTGGATGAGACTATCGAAGCTGTTGCAACTGGTCTGAGCACTACTGTGTATCAGCGCCCCCTGACACCTCATGCCCCTGTTAAACGGAAAAGGAAGACAGGTAAGCCTGATACAATGGATGTGCTTCCTACCAGCAACTCTGCCCTCGAGTCCAGGGATACGGTTATGTCTGTTTCCTCATTCTACATGTTTATTTTCTCTGCCAGAAATACTGTCAGCCCTCCATATCATTGTGTTCCACATCAGGGGACTCATCCAACCATGGATTGAAAATACTTGGAGGAAAAAATATCACAGCTATACTTTTAAACCTCAGAACCACCAAAAAAAAAAAAAAAAATCATAGCCATACTGGACATGTATAGACTTTTCTTGTCATTATTTCAACAGTGTACTATGCCAGCTGTTTACACAGCATGTATGTTATTATTGCAAATAACCTACAGCTGTTTTAAAGTATAGCAAATACTATCAACTTCTGTGTCATTTTATACAAGAGACTTGAGCATCTGTGGAATTTCACTGTCCTCAGGGGCTCCTGGAATGAATTCTCTTCAGATACAAGGGCAACTGCCCTTCCCTGCTTCCTGCTCTCACCAGCCTCCCCTGCTGCTGACCCCTGATGCGCTTCCTGGGCACACTAGTCAGTGTGGATTTGTGGATTCCTATCTCACTCAGTTAGTTATAATCTGTGGCTTTTTTTTTTTTTTTTGGTGGGAATTGGGTTTGAACTCTGGGCTTCACCCTTGCCAGGTAGGCTCTCTACTGCTTGAGCCACACTTCAAGTCTTTGGGGTTTTTTTGTTTTTGTTTTTAAGTTACTGGGAGTTTGAACTTAAGGCCCCATACTTGCTAGGCAGGCATTCTACCACTTGAACCACTCCGCCAGCCCTCTGTGGTCTCTTAAAAAAACAATGAAATGCATGTGCCCACTTTAAGTATATAGTTTCGGTTTTGACCAATGAAATTTCTACAGATCATCTATCAGAAGTCCCTCCCACCACAGCAGGCAGCCCTGGTGTCATTTTCATCACTATCCATCAGATCCAATTTGGGTCAGCACACAACTTTTGGAACCTGCGTAGTTGGGTATCTGAGTTCGTGTTTTTTCTTTGTTAAGGAAGATTCTGTCCTATGAATGCCCCACAGTTTGTTTATCATTTACCTGTTGATGGGGACTTGAGTTGATTGCAGTTGGAACCCCTTAAGAATAGAGCTGCCACAAATGAGTGTAGCAGATACTTTTGCAAAACAGGCGCTCTGTTGCTTGAGCCAGTTCATTTTGCACTGGTTATTTTGGAGATGGGGACTTGATCAAACTTTGATCCTCTGATCTCAGCCTCCCCGGGAGCTAGGGTTATAGGTGTGAGCCACTGGTGTCAAGCTGGTTAGAAGTCTTAATGTGCTGTACTGGGGTATTGAAATCCAGGGGCTGAGTCCTTGTTGCATGCTGGTGAGGTGGCAGGTTGCTGGTGTTTGTAGGCACCTTTGGTGGCCTTTTCAGTGATAAGCAGAGTTCAGCGGCTGAGCTCTATGTTCTGGGTATGCAGTTGGTCATTGTTTGGGCTTTCTAGTGAACAGGGGACAGCACTCTTAAGATCATACTGGCACTGGCACCTGAGGTTCAAGATTAGAGGGCTTTCACTTCCCATATTTCACCTGTGTGTCTGAACACTAACCATAGTTTTGTTTGTTTATTTTGGTGATACTGGGATTTAATCTCAGGGCTTCACGCTTGCTAAGCAGGAGCTTTACCACTTGAGCCACTCCACCAACCCTTTTTTGTGGTGGATATTTTCAAGATAGGGTCTTGCAAACTATTTGCCCAGGCTGGCCTCAAACTACGATCCTCCTGATCTCTACTACCTCCTGAGTATCTAGGATTTTAGGTGTGAACCCCTGGCACCCAGCTACTAACATTCGTTCATTTATTGATTGATTGATTGATTGATTGGTATGGTGTCTGAGTTTGAACCCCAGCCCTTGCATTATTAGGCAGTTGCTCTACCACTTGAGCCACACCATAGCCCTTTTTGTTTTGTATATTTGTTTCTGAGATAAGGTCTCTCTAACTTAACCTGAGCTAGTCTCCAACTGGCAGTCTATCTTAGCCTCTGGAATTCTAGGATTATAGATGTCCATCACCATACCTGGCAACCAAAACTTTAATGCTATGAAATGTCAGTGTTGAAAGTTCTAGTTGTGTCATAAATGTGAAAAAAGTTTTTAAATAGTTTATTTGGAGCATGGTTGTATGTGCCTGCAGTTCCAGCTACTTGGGAAGACTAAGACAGGAGGATCTCTTGAACTTAGAGGAATTTGAGGCCAGTTTGGGCAACATAGCAAGACAGTCTCTCAGAAAAGTGTTAATTTTATTTATCTGGGTGTCATGCTCATGCATGTAATCCTAGCTACTCAGGAGGCAGACTCTATCTTGACAAAAATCCATCACAAAAATGGGCTGGTAGAGTAGCTTAAGGTATAGACCCTTAGTTCAAGCCCCAGTACGGCAAAAAAAAAGAGAGAGAGAGAGAGAGTGAGAGATCAGAAGGATTTCTGTTCCAGGCCAACCTGGGCAAAAAGGTAGCAAGACACACCCCCACTCCATCTCAGCCAATAAGCTGTGTGGAGTGGGTATGTGTCTGTCATCCCAGCTACACTCAAAGTATAAATAGGAGGATCGTGGTCCAACCAGGACACAAATGCAAGACCTTATTTGAAAAATACCTAAAGCAGGCTGAGGACCAGTGGCTCATACCTGTAATCCTAGCTTCTTAGGAGGTAGAGATCAGGAGAACCTCTGTTCGAAGCCAGCCCTGGGCAAAAAGTTTGTGGGACCCTATCTCAAAAAAAAAAAAATCACAAAAAAGGGCTGACAAAGTGGCTTAATTGGTAAGATCACCTACCTAGCAAGCATGAGGCCCTGAGTTCCAACCCCAGTGCTGCCAATAAATAAATAAATAAATAAATAAAGCAAAATGGGCTGAGGGCATGGCTCAAGTTGTAGAGCACCTGCCTAGCAAGGCAAGGCCCTGAGTTCAACCTTCAGTACCACCAAAAGAAAAATAAATGCTTACTTGAATCAAGATCCAGATCACTTCCATGATGGGCTGACTGCTGTGTGTTAGTCTCCTTCCTCCACTCTTTGCCATGGTGGAGACTGGGTTCTTGGTCCCATAGGTATGTACTCATTGATGTCAGTGGCTCTCTGCCCTTTGCTTCTGTTTACAGACTGTCAGCTGGAGCTTAGAGTCCCGCTGGGGCCCAGGTGTGAGCTCAGTATGTTGGGTGTTTTGTTGCAGGGTGTACTCTGTCAGAAACAGCTTTCATAACAGCAGCAGCCAGTACTCAGATGCATCAGCTTCACACTGCTGTATGGGCATGCCATTACATGCCTTTCTGTCCTTGCAGTCACTTTCCATTATTGAGTGAACCCATTCCAAGATCCCCAGTGGATGGCACCACATACTGCATACACTGTATTTTCCATAAGTGCATGCTTGTGATAACATTTACTTTGTAAACTCAGCGCAGTAGAGATTAGCCGCAATAACTAATAATAACAGAACAGTTACAACAGTACACTGATAAAAGTTAGGTGAATGTGGTCTCTGTCTTTAAAACTATCTTGCTATACTGGGCACCCCTTCTTGTGATGCTGTGAGGTGGTGCAGTGCCTATGAGATGAGGCAGCAAGATGCATGGCTCAGGCACTGATGTAGAACTGGGCTGCTTCATAATGGTCCCTTGAGCACAAGCATTACCAGCTCCCTGGAATTGTTTGATGAATAGAACGGCTACTTAGTAGTAACAAGGGACTTACATTACACACGTGAATGAGTTTCCAGGATTGCCAGGTCCTAGAATGAGGATCCATAGCAGTGCTTTTGCAGGGTGCATTTCTTAAGCAATTGTCTGCCTCAGAGTTCTGGGAGAGCTCCTGTGATTGGACCATCAGTGGTCATATTAGGGTCATGGTTGCCTCTGACTTCTGGTTGTGTGTGTATTTTTTCAATTTATTTTTGTTTAAGAATCACTCAGGGAAGTCAAATCCCATCCTTGCTCGCCAACTGACATGTTATTTTACTTTTTCTTTTTGATGAAAGTAGAGTTTTAACTCAGTGCCTCACTTTTGCTAAGCTGGTGCTCTTACTTTGAGCTGTATCCACATCTGGACACATTATTTCAAAATGTTTATGGTTTATTTCTCCATTTAAAAAGTTCAAGTCCTATTGTGACATGGTTCCTCCCCTGCTTCTTGGGCTCTGTGCTCTTGGGAGGGCTTCACACATGGTACAGCACAGAAATCCAACGTTTTCTTTTTAGGCAGACGGAAGAAAATACAGGGAAGAAAGAAAACCCAGTCCAGGTCATCAGTGAAAAGTAAGAGTCGGAGTGCAAAAGCCAAGAAACGCCGTGTGAAGAAAAGAAAAGGGAAAAAGATAAAGGTAAGAACATGATGGTGGTGTCCAGACATTTGCCAGCATTAACTCCTGTGTGGCTCATTAACAGGGGCCACTAGAATGACTGCTTTTCTGCAGTTACTTGGCAGTTCCCTGAGAGCAGCCAGCACCTAGGGGCCTAGGTCAAAGGTGGGGTGGAGGTGTTTTCACCCTTCTAGAATGGGATGTGCTGAAGGTTGTATCCAGTGACCCCTGGAACTTGTGGGAGTAGAGAGGCAGGGCTCGCTGGGGCCAGAGGATCAAGCCACCTTCTTTGGTCTCTGGCCGGTCAGGGCAGCAGGTTCACAGTGCTCTAGGATGGGAGCAGGCTTGAATCCAAGTCCTCTGGACAGAGGGCTCAGTATCTGAGAACAGCCTGGGGTCCTGCCCACAATGGTACATACCACACTGGTTGTTGACTTGACAGTATGGTGCTCTCTGTCCTGGGGATCCCAGCTCTATGAGCAGCCTACTCCAGTGGGCCCTTGCTTGGGCTGCCATGAAATACATTTCATTTATAAAACACAGGAAGCTGAATCATAACCATTACCCAAGTGTTTGTCATGTCTTTATGTGAATTTATACTCGATTGTTATCTATTTCTTAGTAAATATAAATTTCTGTCATACATACACATTACATACAGATGTGTTTTCATTTTTTATTGATACTATTACTTTTTTGTTTGTTTATTTGTTTTTGGTGGTATTGGGGTTTGAACTCTGGGGCCTTGCGCTTGCTAGGTAGGCACTCTACCTCTTGAGCCACACTTCCAGTTCATTTTTCTCTGGTTATTTTGTAAATTGGGGCTTGTAGACTATTTGCCCCGGGCTGCCCTCGAACTGTGATCCTCCTTGCCTGGTGCCTGGCAAGTGTTTTTTTTTTTTTTGAGACAGGGTCTCTCAGAGCCCAGACTGGCGTCCAACTCAAGGACCTCTTGCTCATCCTCCTGAGTACTGGGATTGTAGGCATGTGCCACCACATCTGACCTTTTTTCTGGGTTTGTTTGGTTTTTTTTTCTGGTGGTACTAGGGCCTCACACTTGCTGGGCAGGTACTCTACCACATGAGCCAAGTTTTCAGTCCCCATTTTAGTTTTAAATAGAGCTTGAACATCTGGTTTGGATATTCCATCATCAAATACCTATAGCTGTGACCAAGTGTGAATGAGTCAGGTGGAGCTCCTGTTTCCAGTTCTACAGTCACCAGGGCTCTTATTGTGTACTAAACCCTTAGGCCTGGTGGTATTGGTGTCTCCTTTCCTCCTGTGCCTAGAATATTCCATCCTGAACTATTTCTTCATCTGCCTATTTCTAACATTCCTTTCCTCAGTGAACAGAGCCATCTGGCATCACTGCTCACAAGTGTGCAGAAGGTGTGGGTAAAGGGTGTGTTCCTTTGGGAGAGATCCCAACTGGGAGAGTTACCCCTTTCCAGCTGTGTCTAGAATCTGGAGGAGGTAGTGTGTAATCCTTCTAATTTTAGTAATTTAGGAATAACTATAATTGAGATGATATTTAAAGCCATATTGGTTCCTCACATGGTGGCTAACTTACAATTGTCAGTCATTGGTTGAATTTTTGCTTGCCTCTTTGTGAGTTTCCATACAAACAAAGTGCTACACGATGACAGTGACACTGCCAACCAGCCATCTGCTTAGTTTATCTTGCAGTGTGCATGTGTCGGTGCACTTGTTAGCGCTGGTTCGGTGAAACTGCCGAGACTTGGTGGTATTCACTTAACCTAGTGCTGGGTGTTACTAATTGTTATGTCTCATGGTGTGTCTGGAGCCTTTAAATTTCATTTTTATATATCCTTACTCTTTTTCCTTGTTACTTTGGTTCAGAATGAAGTCACAGCTCGCTCTCGCATTGCTCGGACGCTGGGCCTCTGCAGGCCTGTCCGAGGCACCTGCATGCCATCAGTGTACAAGCCCGTGGACACCTCTCTGGGGCTGATGCGGGCAGATATTGGAGCAGCTTCTCTGTCACTATTTGGAGACCCCTATGAGCTGGATCCCTTTGACAGGTGACTGCAGGGATGACTGTCTGATGTGGGCACCAGCTCCCATCACCCTGGGTTTTGGGGGACTGTGGGCACATGTACACCTCAGGTTTCACGTTTGTAAATGCCTCACATCTGTAATCCTGTGTATTCGGGAGGCAGTGATCAGGAAGATCACGATTCAAAGCCAGCCCAGGCAAATAGTTTGTGAGACCCTATGTCATAAAAACCCTTCACAAAAAAGAGCTGGTGGAGTGGCTCAAGGTGTAGCCCCTGAGTTTAAACCCCAGTACCCCCCGCAAAAAAAGAAAAGAACTTTAGGCCTGTGGGGCCTGGATCCGGTCCCCAGGTCACCTGTTTCCATGGCCTGTGTCCCCCTCTAGTAGTGAAGAACCATCTGCAAACCCCCCTTCCCCTCTGAGTGCCAAGAGGAGGGTGTTGTCCCGCTCAGCTCTACAGTCTCACCAGCCTGTGGCAAGGCCTGTCTCCATGGGGCTCTCCAGGTACGTGGCAGCAGGGGCTTCTGGGAGGGGCAGGGCAGAGGCCCTACTGGGTCATATTGGCCGGCTCTTTGTGGCTCTTGGCAATGTGGCTGAGCATCTCCCATTGGTTCTGGGATGTTTGAGGTTAGTTTTGAATGTTGCATCAGGGCTGGGGGAACTTGAGGGTTAAGGATCATGGCTGCTGGCCCATGCTCACCCTTGCAGAGCGGAGGGGCCTCCTGGGACAGGGCAATAGCCCTGGTCCATGGTTACCAACAGTGGAGACACTTTCCTGCCATCTCCTGCCTAATAGTGGGCACAGGTGTCATCCACACAACTGGTTTGCCTGTTGTCAGGGCTGTGAGGAAGGGTGGTGATGGCAGGCCCACCTTGGGTCTGTGCCCACAGGAGGCAGCTCCCTGCCGTGGCCCCAGAACCAGGTGTGGAGGAGGCCCCTGTCCCTGACCTTCTGGGAAGCATCTTGTCCAGCCAGAGCTTCCTGATGATGAGCAGCGCTGATGTCATCATCCACCGGGACGGCTCTCTCAGTGCCAAGAGGGCAGGTGAGCACCCGTGGGTCACTGCCGCTTCCTCACGACTTTGGAAATGGAAACCTACTTTCCCCAGAACTTGGCATGTCAGCTGGCTCAGGCTTTACTGTTAGTGTGGATGAGTGTTCAAGGCATGATTGTCCCGACAGTGTCTCACCACTCTCTGAGTAGAGTTAGGCGAGAGTGGCATCTCCAGGCCAGCTCACAGAACCTCCTCACCCACAGGTAAAGTGCCCCCACCTGCCACCCCCATCAGGTATCAACTGGGTGGGGTAAATCTGCCCCACAACCACATCTTTGTATAGCAGAACAGCAAGAACACACACAGGGGTGTTTGCCACCCTACAGAGCAGGGAGCAAATGGCACAGCTGCGTTGGCAGCACTCCTGAGTGTGGAGGTGTGGAGTGGCAGAAAGTGTCTACTCAGTAAGTAGACAGGACAGTTTCATTGCATGGCTCAAAGTGAAGTTTGATAACACTTAAATCCATTGAAAAAAAATCTTTTTTTTGTCACTGGGGTTTGAACTTGGGGCCTCATGCTTGCTAGCAGGTACTCTACCACTTGAGCCACTCCGCCAGCCAAGAAATCATCGAAATTTTTAAAGAAGAGGTTGGAATGATTGCTGTCTGACCTTTTTATTTTTCAGCTCCTGTTTCTCTTCAGCGGAACTCCGTGACTCCGTCCAGAGAAGGGCCTAGGTCCAGAGATGGTCTGCAGCCTGTGGCACCATCCTCAGGGAGCCTGTCTGATGGACCCACAGGAGGCAGAACACAGAGCTCAGGGCTAAGCTGTGGGAATAGGTCAGCCCTGCGCTGTGGCCCTGCCCGTACTGTGGGGGCATCTGTGAGGCTGGACTCCTCAGTCACCCCTGGGTCAGGTCAGGTTCAGAGCCTGTCAAACGGGAGTGGGCTTGGCTTGAGACAGTGTGACAAATCCCGATTTAATGGTGTCAGTGTGCAGGCCTTGCCTCTTGGTTCTGCCTCATCTAACATATCTAGCAGCCATTCTAACTCTCCATCTAGAGGTGTAGCCCTTGGACATGCCCCAAAACCAGCTCCCAGGAGAGCTGACATCTCAGAACTGCCCAGGATACCTAAGATCCAAAGGGATAGCAGTGGCAATAGACGGGACCCGGCCCCAGCCCAAGAGCAGAGTGTTGAGCTCCCCAGCACCTGCATCAGCCGCCTGACAGGCAGGGAGGGCCCTGGGCAGCCAGGACGAGGCCGGGCAGAGAACGAACCCAGCAGCAGGGGCCCCCAGGAGCCAGGCTCACACACAGGTGGCTCTCGGCCCCCAGCCCCCAGCTCCCATGGGACCCTGGCCCCACTGGGGCCCTCAAGAGGGAAGGGTGTAGGATCAACCTTTGAGAGCTTCAGAATCAACATCCCAGGAAACACAGCACACTGTAGCCGACTGTCTGGCCCTGGCTTCTGTAACACGTTCCGGCCTGTGGATAGCAAAGTGCAAAGGAAAGAGAACCCTTCACCCCTCTTCTCCATCAAGAAGACAAAGCAGCTAAAAAGTGAGATCTACGACCCATTCGATCCCACTGGCTCCGACTCAAGCCCCCCTAGCAGCAGCCCCGAGAGTCTTGGGCCTGGCCTCCTTCCATCTGAGATCACAAGAACCATCTCCATCAGTAGCCCAAAGGCTCCTGTGTTCCAGGCCGTGCGCTGTGTCACCTCCTACAGGGTGGAAAGTGTCTTTGGAACCGAGCCCGAGCCAGATCCCCCTGGTGAGCCCACATCTGGCATGCTCAAGTTCCGGAATGAGGGCCCTACAGAGGGGGCCTCTGACATGGAACGAGAAGGGTTAGGCAGGGAGGACCCCACAGAGAGCCAGAGTCTCACTGCCCGGACACGGAGGCCATCCCCACCAGACCCCTGGGATGATGAGGATGAAGTGTCCCGTGGCCCCTTCTTTGGCTCAGAGGAACGGACAGTGACTTGTGTGACTGTTGTGGAACCAGATGCCCCACCTAGCCCAGATGTGTCACAGGTGACCACCCACAGGATTGTAGAGCTTCACGCTCCATCCCGCTCCCGCTCCACCTCTAGCTCCCGAGGTAGGAAGAAAGCCAAGAGGAAGAAGACAGCCAGGGAGCACCGAAGGACACGCTCCAGTACTCGCTCTGGCTCCAGGGACAGGACCTCACGCTCAGCATCACCTGTGGTTGAGGAGCACGCCAGGAGGCACCAGGCCAAGGCCAAGGGCCGGAGGTCTTCCAGTGACCACGCCAGTAGCCAGGAAAGAGCAAAGAAGAGAAAGGCCAAGGACAGGGATAAGGAGTGGAGGCGGGGTTCCTGGGGCCGAGGCCGGAGGAAATCCCGGTCACGCTCTGTGAGCCCTGGCAGCTCCTCCTGTGAGCGCTATGAGAGCAGGAGAAGGAAGCGGCGACGCTCAGGGTCCAGGACTCGGGGGAGGGACTGTTCCCCCCACAGCAGCCTGGAGAGGGCCCGGAGACATAGGCACCAGCGGGAGCGGAGCCGGGAATGGCCCGACAAGAAGGACAGGTCCACCCGGTCCCGAGAGAGGAGGAGGAGGAGGTCTCGGTCACCCAGCTCAGAGCACAGGGCAAGGTGGCCACGGTCCCGCGAGAAACGGCCTCGTTCCCCAGAGAGAAAGGGCACTGTGAGGGAGGCTTCCCCAGCCCCTACTCCACGGCAGGATGGAGACCACCCAGAAAGGCTACCAGCTTCTGCAGAAGTGGGTGTCTCACCAGAGGTGGTGATGGATAACTCGAACCCTTCTCGGGCGCCCCCTGTCCTGGAAGTACCAGCTGAGTGCACTCTGGAGGACCTGGACTATGGTGACTCGGTGGAGGCAGGCCACATCTTCGAGGATTTTTCAGACGAAGCTATCTTCATCCAGCTTGATGACATGAGCTCACCTCCCTCTCCTGAAAGTACTGACTCTTCCCCAGAGCGGGACTTCCCGCCAAATCCCATCTTGCCCCTGGCCAGCCTACCACATGACACCACCTTAGCGGCCATCCAAAGGGAGGTGTCATTAATCCATGATGAAGACATCTCACAACCCACACCCCAGGCAAGGGATCCTCCAGAGCAGCACCTGCTCAGGCAGGACATGGCAGAGACCATGGCTACAGATCCCAGTACTCTGGGCGTTGTTCCTGTGGTGAAGGAGAACAGCCCCTCCGGAAGTGAGAGGGTGTGTGAGGCTGCCAGGCCTGAGGAGGCTGTGGCACAGGCCCCCCTGCTGCGGTCTAGAACCCTGGTGAAGAGAGTCACCTGGAACCTGCAGGAGGCCGAGAGCAGCACCCCAACCCTGGACCGAGCCCCAAGTGAGTATGCACGTCTAGAGGCTGTGGGGTTGGGATTGTCCCTGTAGGAGGAGGGGCAGAGCAGATGTCAGGGAAGCAGCCAATCCCAGAGTCTAGTTCCTTAAAAGTGGTCAGATCTGTAGCTTGGTCTGTGGTCCCCACTGATGGGAAGGGTTTTTGGGATTTTTTTCCATCAAGAAGCAGTGTTTTGGCCTCAGTTAGCCACAGGGCACTCACCTCCCCCTATCTGTCCGTCCCTCAGGGACACCACTTCACAGGCCTCAGAGGTCCCAGGAAGGAGCTTGGGATGCAGAAGATGGGCCTCCTGTGGATGTCCAGCAGGCCCTGTTCTCTGAGCTGCCCCCTCCCAGCCATATGCTACTGGAACCTGGATTCCCCGACACAGACCCCTCTCAGGTGGGTGCTGGGCTAGAGGGATGTGAGCTGGGCCTTGTGCTGGACCTGTGGACTACTATGGATGGGACTGAGGCCTTACAGTATCACTTTCTTGTGCTTTGGGAATGGGATTCGGGGTTTAGTGCCGACTTTTGGAACTCTGTGCTCAGCGGGGTTGTTTTTGCCCAGGTTTACAGCCCCAACATGCCTCCCACCCCAGCTCAGCCCTCAAGTATCCTGCTGTACCCACTGGTCAGCAGCCAGCCCTCGGCACAGTACATCCTGCAGGGCAGCCTTCCCCTGGCAGGCTGTGGTGCAGTACAGAGCCTGGCCCCAGTGCCCACTGTGCTAGCCACAGCCTCAGAGCTGGCTGGTCAAGCCACCACTACCACCAGCTCAGAGGAGAGGACTGCCACTCCTAGGCCAGCTGCAGAGAAGACCAAGAAGGAGGAAGTAAGTGCTGCCTATTCCATGGGCTCCCATCTCATTTTGAAGCCAAAGTTCTTGGGCTAAATTCAAAAATAGAAGCCAGCCTTGGGGGTCTTGGTCAGGGTGGTGGAGAGCAGCTGGCATTGCCTTTAGTGCTGCAGGGCTGAAGGGATGTCCTAGAACTATGGCCTCCCCACACAAGGGCCCATAGGCCAATCCTGACATCCTGCGGCAAGGTCATACATGTCCTCATTCCTAGTACATGAAGAAGCTGCACATGCAGGAGCGGGCTGTGGAGGAGGTGAAGCTGGCCATCAAACCCTTCTACCAGAAAAGGGAGGTGACCAAGGAGGAATACAAGGACATCCTGCGCAAAGCTGTGCAGAAGGTGGGCTGCGCAGGCAAGCAGAGCTGTATACACCTCTGCATGTTGGGAATCCTTAGGCTATGGGTGACATGTCACTACCCAGATTGGCCAGACCTGATGTGGCAGATTGCTACCATTTCTCATCTGCAAGGATTCTTGCTCTGAGAAATGGGCAGATCTGCCTATGGTGATAAGTCTCTGGCTTCATTTTGACCTGTGGCACCTGTGATGACCCTCAGCAGCCCTGTAAGGTGGCAGAGCAAGGGGATGCGGGTGCATCATGGAAACAGCACCTAGGGCTGGGTGAGCGGTCTGCACTAAGCTTCGGACCTATCTGGGCTGGGCATGGGCTCTGTCACTGTCAGTACCTGTCTTGAAGGACATCAGGGTAATTGTACTCTTTCTGCAGATCTGCCACAGCAAGAGCGGTCAGATCAACCCTGTGAAGGTGGCTAACCTGGTGAAGGCCTATGTGGACAAGTATAGGCACATGCGCAGGCATAAGAAGACTGAGGCTGGGGAGGAGGCACCTGCCCAGGCTGAGGCCTGAGGACAGGCAGCTGTGGGCAAGACCCCTGGGGACATTTCTGTGTCCTGTGTCCCCAGTTGCAAAGAACTGGGGCCACCAGCACTCCTGCCTTCAAGGCTCCCATGATGATAACAGCACCTGTCTTGCTCACAGTTGAAAACTGGACTTTTTTTTTTATATGTATATTATAGATACACTGTTTTCATTGTGTTCTAATTTATCAAAAATGACTTATCTTTAGAAAGTTTTCTGTTGACTTGGTACTTGGAAAGTGAAGCCTGACTGGACCAGGGCAGGCGAAGCGGACTCCTGGGTCCTGGGTCTTCCAGGGGTGGGGGCAGGTGGGAGAGCTGCCAGCAGCCATTCAAGTACCTGTATCTTTGGTACAGCAGTTTCCTTCCTCTCTTTCTAATTGCTTTGTGTTGCTATCAGTAATTGACAGGTTTGTACTCAGCCAGCTGCTTCCCTGGAGGCAGGGCACAACACTGCAGAACTCAGTGCTGGTACAGGTGTGGGTACAACATGGTACCTCCTCTACACTCCTGGCAGGAGCAGCTTTGTCTTCCAAGGGCTTTGGTGGCTCCAAAGCATGTGGCTTGAGCTCAGTGATGATAAGTGTGTGTTGTGGGGGAGGTGAAAGTCACCTCCCAGTAGCAAGGTGAGGTGCCAACCATGTCCAGCCCCATCAGTCAGTGCTGGCAGCAAGGCTGACCTTTCAGAGAGGAGTGATCCTGACTGTCCCAAGCCCATCCTATGTCAGGACAGCACTGGTACTTGACTCTTTATTGGGGTAAGGGGGAGTGCACTGGTTTAGCCCCACTGCTCCAGCTCCATGAGGAAGTGGTCGATGTCATCATAGAGGCTGTTGGTACTGGACAGGCACAGGCCAAGGCTGCTGCTGTCCAGAGAAGACACACCCTCACGTTGCACACCCTCTAGCTGTGCTCTACACAGCCATGGCTCCAGCTGTCGGGGAGAGTATCTGTCAGGGCACTGATGTCTGTCACCAGGCTGCCCACCTCCACCCGTGACCTGGGCCCCACCTTCACCAGGACGAGGCTCTTCTCTTTGGGTCTCCCGGCTGACAGGTCCTGCCCAAAGCCCAAGTAGATGGTGTAGTGTGGGGAGCCTTTGCGCTGCCTTGCCCGGAACTCTCCCAGCTCTGCAGGAATTGAGCAAGATGGTAGTGCTCCCGGGGGACTGCATGGGACAGCCCCATACAGACACCTCACTGACCTCGGAAGAAGGTGCCAAAGTCGAAGATAGGGGTGTGGCAGTTACGCTCCAGCAGCTGGGCTGGGGTGGAGGGGCGGGCAGAGCCCAGTGGGCTGCCCACCTCCCAGTACACCTTGCACTTGCCCATGCGCAGGGCCCACAGCACAAGTCCCCGAAGCTCCAGCTGCAGGCCCGGGGCCACATGCCGCAGTAGCTCCTCTGTGTAGCGCAGCTGCTTCTGGTCAGGGAGCTCAGCGGGACTGGGGAAGACTACTGGCTGGGGTTCTGTGGCCAGGGCAGCTGGGCCTGTGGGGCTGTACAGGAACACACAGCTGGGGTGCCCCATCACCGCCTGCAGTACTGTTCTGCCCTTATACATGATGGTCACATCCAGGGCCCCTGGGCCCGGCCCTGTGGACAGACCAAGCTGTGAGCAATGTGAGAATACAATGAGGGGCTCTGCCTTTCAGGTGTTTGGGGACTGCACCCTGGCCTGCACTAGGGAAGGAAGGCTAGAGCTGGCACCTGTTACTGAGGCCATCCCACCCATCTCCCAGCCCCTCTCACCTGTCATCAGTGCTGGGTGCTGAGGCCTGGGGCTGGGGGCAGCCGCCACTGCCCATGCTGCACAAGACTCCTCCAGGGGGTGCTCTGAGCCTGAAGAGCAGTGGGAAAAGCAAAGCTGCCTGGTGGTGGCAAGCACTGACTGTTCCTACTGGTCCTCCTCATGGTGCCCCAGCTACCCACGCCTAGTGCACTCCACATCTTTCCCAAGGGCCAGTCCCAGGCACACTGCCTCCCCCAGGACCTTTGCTGTCTTCCCTGCTCTGCCCTACAGAGCAGAGGCTGGGACCTCACCAGGAGCCAGTGGAGGGACTGGGTCTGCCCCACTTGCAGCATCCAGCAGATGGTCCTCCAGGAGACTCTGCTGCAAAACCTCGGCCAGGAGGTCTCCAGTGTCACCAGCCGGGGTGGGCAGATGGATTGGCACTTGGGTCTCAGTATCTCCTCTTACCAGGAATGGCCCCAGGGGTCCACCCTGCAAGGGGGAGAACAGTCAGGTTAAGCAGCTGCCTAGGCCCCACACCTAGGAAGACAGAGAGGCAGAAACTATACCTGTGTGGGTGGGGCTTCTCTGAGGGCCTCTTCTTCCCCCTGGTGGACAGCTGGGCCTTCTGAGGCTGGCATGAGATCTGGCTGTAAAAGCCTGAGTAGCCAGGCTGGATTTTCCAGTCCCAATACCCCTCCCCTAGAAACAACCTGGGTATCCCAGGGCTCAGACTGGCAGAGAGATGGGGTGGACCTCCAGTAGCTCTGGCCTGCGCCTTGTTCAACCAGGCCGGTTTCTAAAACCGTTAAATCTCACCCCGGAGGCCACAGATGGCAGTGTCCTCTGCCTGCCACCTTGGCCCAGCCCTCCTTGCAGCGTCTCTCACCTCTCCACCCCAGCTCAGCCCCAGAGCTGAGCTTATACACTTTGTGCGGGTCCACATTGTCCCCTGAGTTGTCTTGCAGCATCATGAAACGCCGCGTGCTGTGCAGCGCGCAGCGGAAGTTGGTCTTCCAGCCGGCCCGCTCCGCAGCCTCAGCCTCTGGGGAAGGCTGGTCACCTCCGCTGTGGCTGGGCGGCCACCTGCCTCGGGCCACCGCCCAAGCCTGGTGAGGACAGAGAAGGTGGGTCTGGGGCGGGACCCGCAGGGCCCTGTGGGCAGGTCCTCCACAGGGCGGGGCTGGGTCCCACCTTGAAGATGCGGGCGTCGGCCTCGCCCAGGTCCTTGCGCGAGAAGTGCTTCCAGGGCACGCGGAAGACGGTGCGGGTGTCGTCCAGCCACCGCAGCCCCTCATACCGGCCACTGCTGACCTCGCCCAGAAGCCACTCTCCGAACAGCACACGCTGGGGTCCCCTGCAGGCAGGGCAGTCACGCTGGGGTTAGGGCCGAGGGCAAGGCACACAGACCAGTATTGGCAGGGCGGACGGGTTCTCACCTCTCAAGAGCCCCTGCCATCTCTCCTTCTGCAGGGACAGTCTGTTCCTTTGTCCTGAGAGAGTTGTGGTCAAGGGAGGTGGTCAGGTTGTCACCACAGGTGATAAGGGTTCCTTGTACGTTACTTTGCTACGGGTGTCAGGTTGTGGCCACAGGTAGCGTGGCCAGGTATCACAGGTGTGACCAGGTGTTATGCTTGTTGGAGATCACAGATGCGGATGGTGGGCTTGTAGCCACCTACGTTGCCTGAGTGTGGATTTCTCGGCCGAGGTGGCTATCAATGTGACTGCAGATGCGGCGAGAGCGCACACGTGAAGTCACAGGTATTGACCCAGCGTCCGGGCCTGCACGGGCTCGCAGGCTGGACCCTGCGGAGACACGATGGCGTGGAGGGGGCGGGCCCGAGGCCAGGAAAGCGAAACCGCGCGTCCCAGGAAAACGAAACCTAAACTGCGGGGCGCGCGCCTCCCACAGTGCGGAACCCTCTCCCGCCGTGTCCTCCATCCCCGACCCCAGTCGGTGTCCAGTCCCCAACCCCACCTCCAGATCCTCAGTTCGGGACCCTCTCCCCGACCCTCTGCCCGCTGGCTCTCCGACCCTTTACACTACCCCTCCCGAGTTGCTGCTCTGTATGGGGGACAAGGACCTGGCATGGGCCCTAGCTCCCCTCCTGCTCGCATGGGTCAGGACCCCATTTACCTGGTGCCGGAGCCGCCGGGACGGGGAAGCTTTGCTTCCCAAGAGGCAGCCGGCGTTTTTATAGTTCCGGGACAAGGGGCGGGGCGGGTCCGGAGAGCCCGGGTGCCACTCAGGCGTCACGTGCACCGGGGGCGGTTTCTGCAGGCGCTGCGCTGTCTCGGTGGGGAGGGGTGGGGGGTCGGGGGGGTTCCCGACGGCACCTGGGAGTCGCGGATGGGGGGCGGGTCGGCGTGGAGGATCAGCACCTGCAGGGTCCCTCTTCTCAGGGAAGCACGCTCTCTATGCACCGGGAGCAGGAGGCACGGCGGGAAAAGCCGGGAATCCCCCAACGTAGAGGCAAAATCGTACCCCAAGCAAAACCATGTCTTTTTTTTTCCCCCCCATAATCGTGAGTGATGGGAGGTGGTGTGAAAGAGCGGCCGCGATGCGGTTCGCATTTACACTGAGAATTCAGACAGGAATATTCAAACTCTCGAAATGAAAACTTTTGAGGGTATTCGTGGTGCTTTTTCATTAGCAGAAGTGCTGACAGTTTGCTGTGCAGGAGGAAGGCCAACCCGGGGTGCTTCCCCAGGACGCAAGCCGAGGGCGCTCGGAGCCCAGCCATGGCCCGGGGTGCCCCGCATCCCAGCGGCCCCTGGCACCCTGGACGCCGCCTTCTGCCAGCGCCGCGGTGTCGTGCGGGTGTCCGGCGGGGGTCCCTCTGCGCGTTCACCCCCGGGGTGACGGCCCGGAGGCCACTCTCTCTCCAACCAGCCCCGGAGGGGGTCGCGCTGGCTCCACGCCGGGTGGGGAGCGGGAGGTCTGCAGTGAGGGCGCCCGTGCTCCGTGGTTAGCCAGGAGAGGCGCCGCCCGCGGGCGCAGCAGGTGTCGTACGGGAAGCGGCGCTCGGTGGTCCGGGTGGGGGACCAGCGGCCGGACCTCCGCAGGGGGAGATGGGAGAACGGCGTGTGCGGGACCCTCCCCCGCGCCGCCTCGCGCACGCCCGCCTGACGCCTCGGGCTCGGGATTCGAAAGGGTCACTTTATTCTGCCAAGGGAAGGGGAGCGGCTGGGGGAGGGCGGGGGGGCTGCGTTAGATGTCGGTGGAATCGCCGCCCCGCGCCTGGCCGGAGTCCTCGTCGCCGCTGCCCTCGCTGCCCGAGTCGCGGGCGCCGTCAGCGTCCGCGTTGGGCGTGTTGAGGACCACCACGTCGGCCTCGGCCCCGATGTCCTCGCCGAACCACACGGCCTTGTAGCCGCCCTCGGGCCGCCGCTCCTTGGTCAGGATGGACCTCACGGCCGAGGGGCTGTCCCCAGCGCGGGCGGCCGCGGGGGCCTCGGAGGCGCGGCGCAGAGGCTCGGGGCCGGGCCGCGCGGGGTCGGGGGGCGCGGGCGGCGCCTCCGTCGGGGCGGGGTCCGGCCTGGGGCTGGGCGTGGGCGTGGGGGTGGGCTTCCACTTGACCTCGTCGTCTGCGAGGAAGGCCTGGTTGTCAAAGCCGCCGGGCTGGGGTTTCTGGGGGCGCAATGAGGGAGTCAGCCAGCAGGGCGGCGCCGGGGCTCTGACTCCCGCCCGACCGACCGACCGACCGACCGACCGTCCTCTGCGCTCCTCTGCCCCTACCCCACCCTTCCCCCCCTGGTGTCCTCACCTCGGGTCCCCTGCCCCAGCAAGTCCTGCTTTCCATGCCCACCAGTCCCCCATCCTTATCTCCAAGTGTCCATCTCTCCATTTCGCCCCATCCCCCATCTCACCATCCTTTTGTCTCCTCTCCATCTCCATCCTCTCTACTGTCCCCCTTTCTACCCTGCCCGGCCCTCCACTCCTGCTGAAAAGGATGACCTCACCCCAGCTTTGCCAGAGCAGCAATTGAGCCGGTGACCATAGTGCTTGTAGATGAGAACAGCCAGGGCGATGAGGGTCAGCAGCAGCAGCGCTCCCAGCACCCCACCCAGCACTGCCATGTCCACGATGGAGAAGTGCTGACCACCACTTGGCTCCACGCCAGGGCTGTCTTCTGGCATCCCTGCCAAAGACACCGTGGTCACTTACTGTTACAATACCCCAGACCCTTCTCTCAACAACCTGTGCCAGGCCAGGGCAGCCCCTCAACCACACACACACACACACACACACACACACACACACACACACACACAGCTGAGGGTCCAAAGAGTAGGTGCTACTAACTTCACCAGGGAGACAGTGAGTGTGAGGACACCAAGGCCTGGGGCTCCTGGGAGGCCAGGCTACTTCAGAGAGGGACGGCATGGGGTCAGTGCCATGAACTGCTCTGTAGTGACCTTAACATCCATTTTGAATAGAGCTAGACTTAGTCCAGAAGTGTGGCTCAATCCTTGCATTTCCTGTTCACACCCTCCAGGTGTCTACCTAGTACAACTGACCACCTCCCTGTGGGACAGCTGGTGTCAGTGTGAGACCTCCTGGACCCTGAGCTGGCCATAAATCCTCCAAGACTCTCCCAGTGGCAAGCCAGTTTGGATAACTCCCAATAGAGGTACTAACTAGCCCACGAGCCTCCAGGAGAATGGTACCCCCAGGACCTGTAAGTAATACAGTGGACAGGGTCTGCTATGTTTTCAGGCTGCCCTTGAACTTCTGGACTCCATCAGCCTCCCTAGTAGCTGGGACTATAGGTGCTTGCTGCAGGAACAGGCCTTACGATCTTTTGTCAGTACTGGAGCCTACATCTTGAGCCACTTCACCAGGTTTTTTTTTTTTTTTTTTTTTTTTGTGATGGGTTTTTTCAAGAGAGGGTCTCGCAAACTTTCTGCAGACTGGCTTCAAACCTCAATCCTCCTGACCTCTGCTTCCTGAGTACCTAGGATTACAGGTGTGAGCCATTGGCGCCCAGCTCAGACCTTACAATCTTAATTGCTATTCTGTATTTCCTAATCATCATTGAAGGGCACTCCCCATCTTAAAACCCTAAATTATTAAGAGCTCTGAGAATTGTGGGGCTTCCTGAATCCTAAATCTGGCCTCTGTCCCCATAACTTCCTCAGTTCACCCTCTTGGGGCCCTTGGACCCACCTGTCTCAGACCAGAAAAGGTCTCTTGGGGTTTCATGGTCGGTGAGGTCAGGCCAGGCCAGCCTGGGTGGACCCAGTGGGTACCCCTGGGCTGCCAGGTCCTGAGTTAGGAAGGGTGAAAGCAACTCTAGGGTAAGTGGGGTGGGGACTACCTGAGGGTGAAGGGCTCCTGCTGGGCCCAGGGGTGTTTGCTGGCTTCGGTGTCTGTGTTGAGCCCCCTCCAGGAGTAGCTGGCTGGGGGGAGGTGCTAGTTCCCACAGTGGGGGTCGTAGGCTGAGAGGTTGCTGGTTTGGGGGTCAGTGTTGAGCCCCCTCCAGGAATAGCTGGCTGGGGGGAGGTGCTAGTTCCCACAGTGGGGGTCGTAGGCTGAGAGGTTCCTGGTTTGGGGGTCAGTGTTGAGCCCCCTCCAGGAGTAGCTGGCTGGGGGGAGGTGCTAGTTCCCACAGTGGGGGTCGTAGGCTGAGAGGTTCCTGGTTTGGGGGTCGGTGTTGAGCCCCCTCCAGGCTGGGGGGAGGTGCTAGTTCCCACAGTGGGGTCCCCCCCAGATGTGGGTGAAGCAGGTGGCGTCAGAGTCGTGCCTGAGGGTGGGTGAGGGTCAGAGCTGGTTGTGGAATGTCCTTCAGAGGTTCCAGGCGGCCTGGGTGTATCGGAGGTGGTGCTGCTTGAAGATGTAGCTGTCCCTCCAGTCTCTGGGGAGATGGGGGGCTCTGGGGAAATGAGGGACCAGGGACAGCATTGGGCTTGCCTCTGCCCCCAAGCATACATGCCCCAGGGGAAGAGCCACTGTGCATGGGGACCCCAAGGCTCACCTGTAGAGGGGGGGTCCAGCTCTGACACCCGGATCTCAGCCACGGTGGTCGCTGTGCCAGAGGTCACAGTGTTTTGGGCCTCTACCTGGGGTGGGAAGGGGGCTTGTTCCTCCTGGGCCCCTTTTCACTTCACCCCAGAACACACTGCACCCCCCCCCAACACACACACCTCAGCATAGAAGACTCCTTCTTGCTCCAGGGCCACCGCTGTCAGCACAAACTCCCCATTCATCTGGAACTCTGAGCAGTTGGTGATTCGATATGTGATGGCTGAGTTGAAGACCTGAGCATGACTGTAGTGAGTCCTGGGCCTGGGCTGACCCCACTGTCCATCCCAGGCCACCCACACAGAGAAGAGACTATGCAGACCGAGGGACCAAGCAGGCAAGGTCATGGGGTTCCTCAATGGGTAGGAGGAGGGGGCTTCATACCGGGAACTCAGAGTCCTGAGCCCAGATCCTCAGAGGCTGAGAGGGAGCAGTTGCATCCTTGACTGCCACACCAACCCCAGAGCCAATCACCACAGTGCCACGGTACAGGCTCTGGGAGAATCTGGGTGGCTCCCCCGTGGCAGCCCGGGCCTCCACAGTCACCTGGGTCACTGAGTAACGGGCCAGATCTGCCTGTTCACCCTGGAATGTTGGGGAGGGTGGCAGCAGTGACCAGCAGGGCCTTGGAGGTGGAGCTGCCACTGCAGCCAGGGCCCAGGTAACCTGTCCCTCCACCCCGTTCTGTGCCAGTACCCACCCTGATCAGCAAGAGGAAGGTCATAGCACTAGGGACAATCTTGGCCATAGTGAGGTTGCCAGAGTCAGCATCGATGACGAATGTGTTATCCTGGTTTCCTGGGGGAAAGCATGGTGGAGTTTGGCTATTGGTCCCCTCCACTGAGGTCCAGGGCCCCTGCTGGCTCTGCTTCAGCCCAAGGCGGGGATGGGGCTGGGGTCCACAGTGTGGGGACTGGTCCTCACTCACCTCCTATGATGCTGTAGATGATACGCTGGTTGATACCCTCATCTCCATCCACAGCATAGATGGGCCCGGGACGCAGGATAAGAGGGGACGGCTATGGAGAAGGGCACATGCTGAAGCTGGTGCCAGTGGCCCCAGCTTTGTCACTCCCGCTGATCCTCAGGGTCATTGAGGAGAGGGGAGGAGTTGGGCAGTGCCTGCCTAGGACAGAACTGCAGGATCCGTCACAATGCAGTGGTTCCCTTGGGACCCCTTACCAGGGAGTCCATCTGGACCCTAAGTCCTGGTGGGAAGGAAAGGTCCTGCCTCTCAACACAGTGGAGGCTCCGGTAGCACCTGGTGGCCTGGCCACACCTGCTCACTGGTGCCTCTGTCACCAGCAGTGACCAGCAATTGGCAGAGAAGCAGTTGTCCCTCAGGATCCCTCCAGTCCCATGTCCTGACTGACCTCCCAAGGTCCACACCCCTCTCCAATTTCTGTCTCATCGCCCCCTGACCATGGCTAGGACGGCTGACTTAGGAAGGAATTTGTTTCAAAATCATAACCAAAATTGCCTGTAAACCCATTAGGGAACCCAAGTCCACCCTCTGGTCCATACTCTGAGCCTCCCTGACCACTGTGCGGGACTCGAACCTGATTCTGAACTGCTCCGCCCCCTGGTGACCCCCCATTACCAGAGTATATCCCGTGGGGATGGCCCCATAGTACTGGGCCTGGAGGCAGACATAGCCATCTGAGTAGGTGCAAGGCAGGAACCAGGGGGGCCGAAGATCGGCTGGCAGCACCTTCAGGACCAGGGTGGCGTTGGTCGTGTGGCTGGGTACTTTGTTCTCATCCCAAGTGTCCTGTAACAGCCACCCCTACCTTGTCAGACCAGGAGTGGCTTGGACAGGACCTTGAGCATCCAGGACTCAGGGTGGGCATGACCTGCTCACCCGCACCAACAGCTGGAAGGTCATGGTCTGCATCTTGTAGAAATCCAGGGATTGGTCCAGCCTCAGAGCGGGGCGGTTTGCTCCCTCCAGGGAGAAGAAGCTGCTGGCACCCTGGGTGGGGGTGGGGAAGGCCCAGCCTGAGACCCTGGGAGATCCACGAACCAAGGCATCAGAGTTGAGGGGTCAGTTCAGTGTTGGGCAGGGGCAGGGTTGGCACTGACTGGGGTCACTTCCTGGAGGGTGTAGATCAAGATGTCATCCTTGTCTCGGTCTGTAGCCTTCAAATCTTCTTCAGGAATGACCACAGAGTTCACTTTGGTGTCCTGAGGATAAAGAGACACCCAAGTGTCTCTTCATTTTGGAGGCCAAGCTGATGGCCTCCATGGATGGGTTCCCATGGTGTGCCCCCCGCCCCCAGCCTAATACCTGTGCCCATCCTGTGCCCAGACAGCACCAGACTGGGCTCCACTGACTCACCTCTGGCACCTCCTGCTCCTTAATGGTAAAACTGAACTCTGGAGCATTGTCATTGACATCCAACACCGACACCAACACCCTCAGCTGTGTCACCTGCAGGGGAGGCATCAGCCTATCCACCTTTGCCCCACAAGCCCCCTCCTGGCTGGCAGCTGTGCTCTGATGCCCATCACACCTACCTCCCTCCCTTCCTCCCTCCCTCCCTTTCCTTCCTCCACTCCTTTGCTCATTCATTCAAACAACATTGGTGACATCAACAGAGTAGTGGCCTGGGGGCTCCTATGCTAGCAGGGACCCAGAAACATAAACAAAGCAGGACGTGTGGCAGATGCTCTGGAGAGAAACAGAAGATTCTGGGATCAGGCACCAGTGGCTCACGCCTGTAACCCTAGCTACTTGGGAGGTTGAGAACAGGATCGCTGTTTAAGGCCAGTCTGGGGAAATAGTTTGTGAGAGCCCATCGCCAAACTAACCACAGCGAGATGGAGTGGAGGTGTGGCTCAAGCTGTAGAATGCCTGCTTTGCAAACCTCAAGCCCTGAGTTTAAACCCCAGTCCCACCAAAAACAAAAACAAAAACAAACCTAGGTACACAACCAACAGAATCTCAAATGAGGAGAACTAAAACAATCTCATGTCTTTAAAAACAGATCTCCGAGAGAAAGGAGGGTGTCTAAAAAGAAAAGGAGGAGCTGTTCAGGGAGCCCTACAGCAGCTAGCTACATCATATGGATTTTGCTTGTGTTCACTTCAAACGAAAAACTGAGAAAGACGCTCCTAGGACCCAGGGAGAGGTGGACACAGGGCACTAGATGACAGGGAAGAGCAACTGCTCTCAGGTGTATAGCAGGTGTCAAGGCCTTGGTTTCTAGTGAGTGTATGTGTGTGGTACTGGGGAGGAAACCCAGGACCTTGCCCGTACTAGGCAAGCTCTCTACCACTGAGTTAAACCCCCAGCCCCCAAGACTATGTTTAAAAAAGAAGGGTCCTTGTCTACTGGACACGCTAGCTGAGATAGCTGTGGGAGACATGCCGTAGTGCAAGGGCAGAGCGTTGGGCGCAGGACTGCTCCTGATGGAGCTAGGGAGTGGGGGGGGGGCTGCTATTTCTTCAAGTTTTCCTTAGTAAAAGGCAGGCTGGGGACTGAGATGTGTGGACAGGGTCGGGGGGGGGTCCCCCTGAGGACCCATGTGCTCTTTCCCATGTAGGTGAGTGGGTGAGAGGAATGTGCCCACCAGGCTGGAGTCTCCATGTCTGGTGGGACGTGGAGATGGGAAGGGTGGGTCTGGGGCCTTGAGGAGGGAGGAAGGGTAAGAACAGAGATGGCAAGTGGCCAGCAGGTGAAGGTGCCTCCCATGTGCTGGGGTAAGTGGGTCAGGATTGTCTTAGGGCATCTGTTGGATAAATACCTGGGATGATGAGTCCATATCTCAGGGCAGAGTCTGAGCTGGAGGAAATGTGGGTGTAGTCAATAGGCTGACATTTAGAAACACCCTGGTGAGGTCACCGAGGAGGGGTACTGGGGTACTCTGTCAAGGAGAGCAGGGGTGGGCAGCAGGGAGGACTTACCACCGTGGTCCCTCTCTTGCACTCCAGGTATGCCTGCAGGATCTGGGTTTCCTGGGAAGCAGACAGGCGTTGTGAATCACCCACACAGTGACAGACCACACTGGCAAGGAGAGGGGGACAAAGATGGCAGGGGCTCCCCAGGGTCCCCATCATTGGTGGTATATCCTGAGGGCAGTGGGCACCCAGCAACTTCATCCTGTAGTGGCTGCACCCCACAGAGCCCTCACCTTCCAGGAATCTTCTAGGGAAGGGGAGTGGGTGTCCACCCAAGCCTGCCACCTGCACCTCATAATCCAGAGTCGCGATGAGAAACAGCTGATCATTTTGGATCTGAAATGCCGAGGGGGTGGATGAGGATCCCAGGATCACCTCCTGGCCCTCCGGGACAGAGATGACTGCCAGAGGCCCGGTAATAATTGTGTTCTCCTCGAACTGGAAGATGGTCTGGTTCACAGAGCAGACTGGAAAGTTGGAGAGGAGAAGTTAGTGCCTCCCAGCCCCCAACCCTGCCGCCCATCCCACCCTCCTCTGTCCAGCATGTACCCTGGCTCTGGGCCAAGACCCCTAAGGGTTGGCCAAGCAGTACTGTGAGCAACGGCAGCAGGAGAGGAAGCCCCAACAGGGCCAGAGCCCCCATTTCGACGGCTGTTGCCAGGCAGGAGGGTCCAGCCTCTCTGGCGTCCAAGGCCAGTGTAGTTCCTGCCTTGGCGAACTTTGCCCCTGCCAGGCGCCGCCCCACTTTATGGTCCTTTACAACTGGCCTCTACCAAGGGGGCTCCCGCTGGCCGGCACAAAGCGGGGAACACGGGGGTCATCATTCAGCCCGAGCTAGAGATTCAGGGGTCAACTAGAGGCTCAACTCACAGACAGAACTGGGAAGGGCTGTGGGTCCAAGCTAGGCAGAGGTGGGTGGTCAGAGCTGGGCAGGGCTGAGGTTCAGAACTAAGCAGGGCTGTGAGGTCAGAGCTGGACAGGGCTGGGGGTAAGGGCTGAGAGTCAGGCAGGGGTTGGGGGGGTCAGAGCTAAACAGGGCTTGGAATCACAGCTGGGCAGAGCTGGGGGGTAGAGCTGGGCAGGCTGAGAGGAGCTGGAAGGGCTGTTGGGGGAGCTTGGCAGGGCCGAGGGGCAGAGCTGAGGCTGGGCTTAACCCTTGGTCTTGGGTTTGCTGTAACCCCTCCCCCTCAGGCTGGACTCTGCTTGGCTCTCCTCTAGAAGGTCCTTTGGGCAAAATCCCTGAAACAACCTCTTGAGGTTTCTTTGTAGACTGACCTCCCATTCACTGTCCTAAAGGGAAAGGCCCTCTGCCTCCTAGGAGCTCTTGCCAGTCCAAGGCAGGGGGCAATGATGAGGTGCAAATGGTGGCTTTCAGGGGCATCTGGGAGCTGGGGCACTAGTGCCTGACAGAAGGTTGGGGATCCTGGTGCCCCTTCAGACTCCTACCTGCCCTCAGGCCCTCCACAACAGGGGAGAGGGCACTGGTGGGCTCAGGAGGGAGGTAGGGCTGCTGTGACAAGAGGGGGCCCAAGCCTTCCCCACTCCAGGCTTTAACGTGAGCTTTTCTGTGTGCCTAAAACACCTTCATGAGTCTCTGGCCTCTCTTTGAGGACCGAGAAATTCAGGCTTCCACCTCCCAGCCATGCAGTGCACCCAAATGCTCCTGTGTGCTCACTTGTGTCCACATCTCTGTCTCCACCACACAGGTTGGGTGAGGGGTGAGACCACATGACTGTCATCCTGGACACATGCAACCAAGAGGTCCTCTCAGGTCCTCTCGCTCCAGGGGACTCCTGCCTCCTGGATGAGCTCCTTTAACACCCCTCCTGAGCCTCCTCTCCCTCTTGCTGCACACTGACCATGTAACCCCCTTGCACAGAAGTGAAAGGAGGACACCCTGAGTCCCTGAATGTCTGCTAAGTGGATGACAAAGGGTGGGTGGGGCACTGGGGAGTTCAGCTGGAGGGACAGGAGATGACCCTGATGCCAGATAAAGAATGAGTGCCTGGCTGGCCTCTTAGGTTTAAAGGGCAACTGGGTGTAGTTGCAGTCCTTGCTGGGGCGGACAGGGCCCTCCTTCCACCTGTCAGCCCCACTGAGCAGGGGCTGCCTCGGTTGTATGAGAGGGCGCACACCTTGGGCTCTGAGACCAGGGTCTGAATTCCTTTTATTGGTGCCAAGTACAACCCCTTCCCGCGGGTCTCCCCTTTCCCACTCAGGGTTCTCCTTCCTTCTCATCTGGGCTGCCTCCTTGCTTCAGCCCACTCTGAAGTCATGACCCCAGGAGGCAGCCAGGGAGACCAGGTACGATCCAGGGGGCTCCTCAAGGGCATCCTGCAGAGACAAGCAGGTTAGGGGTTGGGACTTAGAGGCAGAGCTAACCAGAAGCCCCAGGGGAGAAGGAAGGGTGTGGTGGGAGTCTCAGCTAGAGGGCAGCGGGTGCTCACCAGGCCTGCAGAGCAGGTACTTCAGACCACCGCAGGCAGAGCTGACCCTCCGCGGGTTTGGACCAGGTGGTGCCATTCTCCGTGTCCTGCTCACTGCCCCCCCCCCATCCCAAGTCAGAATGAGTCCTGGAGTTGAGGAATCCCGCGTGGCTGATGGGGACAACAGGCCAGGCCTGTCCCACCGCGGCACCCTCCCTGTCCCCACCTGCCCTGCCCACCTGCGCTTCCCCACCAGGCCCTGCAGCAGTCGCTGCAACCGCGCGCTGTCCCGCAGGCGGCTGAGCTCGCTCGTGAACGTCCCGTCCGAGTGTCTCGCGGCCCTGGAAAGGGGCGAGGGCGGGGAAGCGGCGTCCTGGTCAAGAGCGCGGGGAGCGCGGGGAGCGCGGGGTGGGCGGGACGGACGCGGCTCACCTGCAGAGTGAGGGAGCGCGGGGAACGACGGGCAAGGTGGGCGGGGGCGCGGACCGGGTGAGCGCCGGGGACGCGGGGCACGGGGGACGCGGGGGACGGGGCTCACCTGGGGTGCGTAGGGCGGGGGTGGGCGGGGCCGACGCGGCTCACCTGGGGGGCGCGGGGCACTGGGGACGCGGGACGCGGGGTACGCGGGGAACGCGGCTCACCTGGGGGGTGCGGGGCGCGGGGGACGCGGGACGCGGGGGACGCGGGGGACGCGGCTCACCTGGGGGGCGCGGGCAGCGCGGCGGAGCCCGCGAGCAGCAGCAGCAGCAGCAGCAGCGGGAGCGGCGGGGCCATGTCGGGCGCGGGCCGTGCAGAGCCTGCAGCCGCGCCCAGCCCCGCGCTCCCCTTTATAGCGGCTCGGGGGTGGGGGGCTCCCAGCACCGCCCCGGCTCCGCGCGGCCGGGCCGCACCCCATCGATTGCGGGAAGGTCAGGGCCGCCCCCCCAGCTGTCGTCCGGCCGCCTCCCGTCCCCACCGCCGCGATGGCGCCCCTCGGCCGGCTGGCTAGGGTGAGGGGGGGGACAGCCGGGAGTGTCCGCGCCTGCTGCGGGGGCCGCGGGGCAGCGCCACCAGCTGGGGCGCTGGGGACAGGACGGAGGGAACAGCACTGTGAACCCCTGGCCTGTGTGCCTTGGAGCAGAGCCCAGAGAGTGACCCTCCCGCGAGCGACAGGCGTGGCCCGCAGCGGGGAGGTGGGCTGCGGAGGGGACAGGGGGACGGCTGGAGGGAGGAGTGGAGGCTACTCGAAGGTAGCCCTGGGAAGTGGGGGGACCCTGTCCCGAAAGCCCCTGTAAAGGCCAGGGCAGGAGGCCCAGTGCGGAGAAGGGCCCCAGTGACCTCAGGTGGAGCACCATGAGGCAAAGGTCAGAACCTGGTGGTCCCCGGGTTGTGCTTTTGGAGGGAAGAAACCCAGCCTGGTGGCAGGAAGCAGGCAAGCAAGGGAGCAAGAAGAAGGGGGCTACGGATGGAGGTTGACTACAATTAGACTTTTAGAACTTGATCATGGCTGGGGACACAGCTCAGTAGAGTGCTTGCCTAGATGTACCAGGCCCTGGGTTGAACTACTTGCGCCCCAAACAAAACCAAAACAACTCACGGAGATACTGGGGTTTGACCTACACACATAGCAAGCAAATGCTTTACCACTTGAGCCACTGCACCAGCCCTGTTTTGTGATGGGTATTTTCTAGATAGGGTCTTGCAAACTATTTGGTCAGGGCTGGCCTCTAACTGCAATCCTCCTGACCTCTGCCTCCTGAGTAGTTTGGATTACAGGCATGAGCCACTGGAGCCCACTCACAAAATTCTGAAATGCAAATGATAAATTTAACAAAACTGTCATAAACACTTCTGTGTAAAACTTTGCATGCGTTTTTCTGGATGCGGGTGGTGGCTCATGCCTATAGTCCTACCTACTCAGGAGGCAGAGCTCAGGAGGATTGGACTGGCAGAGTGGTTCAAGAAGAGTGCATGCCTAGCAAGCATAGGCCTTGAGGATCGGGGTTGGAAGCCAGACCCAGGGAAATAGTTCTCCAAACCCTAGCTCAAAAATATCCAAAACAAAAAGTGCTAGTGGAGGTGCTCAAGTGGTAAAGTGCCTGCCTAGCAAGCATGAGGCCCTGAGTTCAAGCCTCAGTACAACAACAACAAAAGTTTGCACGCACTTTAAAACTAAGTACTAACCTTCATGTTTTAGAGTTTTCAGTTTGTGGAAAAATTGAGTTGAAATTACGGTTTTCCCTTTACTGCTCCCTCCAGTCACTTTCCCCTGTACTAAAAAATTCTGGCTCACGATTCTAATCCCAGGGATTCCAGGAACTAGAGGATCAGGAGGCTTGAGGTTGGAGGACAACACAAGCAGAAAGTCAGCAAGAGCCATCATCTCAACCAACGAAAGGCTGGGCATGGCGGCTTCTGCCTGCATCCACTGAGCCATTTCCTGACTTTGAGGGTCTTTTGCTCCTTTTTCTTGCCTATTGCTCTGACTAGAAGGTCCAGGACAAGGCTGAGTAGAAGCAGTAAAATAAGCACACTTGTCTTGTTCCTGCTGTTTGGGGAAAAGCTTTCAGTTTTCACCCCTGTATCTGAGCATGATGTGTGATGCGTTTTTCATTGGGGACCTTTCCTTCTATTCTTAGTTTCTGGGGTTTTTTTTGTCCTTCCTTTCCAGTGCTGGGGACTGAATCCAGAGCACTGCACACGCCAGGCCAAGCACTGCACACGCCAGGCCAAGCACTGCTCTACACTGAGCTACACGTCCACTTCGTTTTTTTTTTTAAATCGTAAAAGGGCATTGGGTTTCTATTAAATGCTTTTTTTGCATCAATTGAGATGACCTTGTGTGATTTTTCTTCACTGTATTAATGTAGTGTGTTACATTTGATTGGGTTTCATCCGTTGAATTACCCTTGCATTCCTGGGATAAATCCCACCGGGTCATGGTGTATAATCCTTTAAAAATGGTACTGGATTTACTGGCATTTTGCTGAGAATTTTTTTAGATTAAAAGGGGATATTATGTTGGAGTCTTCTTTCTTGTGATGTCATTTGTATTGAGTTTTGAGAGTTTTTTCTGTATTTTATAAAGACCTACTATTTATATATATATATATTTATATATATAAAATATATATATATCACTTGCTGGATACATCACTGGCTAATATTTCCTTGCATTATGTGGCTGGAAGTTTGTTTTTTCTCCTCAAAGTGCTTTGGTTCCTTTTATTGGAGAATGGTAGTAGAAATGAAGACCTAGCTGTTCAGTACAGGCTTGTTGTTGGTTCTTTATCCTTTCAGGTGACACAGCAGGAAACGAGTATGGCTACACATACAGTGCGTGCACACATCTGTATGGTGTGTCTGTGTGTTAACAGGCATTAATGTACTGACCCACTAACTCTGGTAAGTCACTGTGTGACTCTGCCTAACCTCTTCAGCTTGCTGATTTGTCAACCTCCCACCTCATGAGAAGTCTCAATCCCATTGTCTTACTAACTCAAAAGAACCCAGGACACATGAGGTGGGAAGTAGGTTCCCAAAGTTCACAATATATGGGTGGGGCTTTGTTGTCATAGCCAGGAAATCATTCTGAAACTCAGTGCCATGAAGACTTTCCAGTGTTTTCTTCGAGGAGTTTTACAGTTTCCGGTCTTATGTTTAAAACTTTACTCCACTTTCAGTTGATTTTGTGTCGGGTGTGAGATAAAAGTTCAGTTTCTCACCAGGCACCAGTGGCTTATGCCTGTAATCCTAGCTACTTGGGAGGGTGAGGATCAGGATTTGAACCCAGCCCAGGCAACATAAACCAGAGCAAAATGGATGGAGGTGTGACTTAAGCCCTAGAGCGCCTGCTTTGCAAGTGTGAAGCCCTGAGTTCAAATTCCAGTCTTAACAAACAACAACAAAAGAGTTCAGTTTCTTTCCTTTGGGTGTGTACATCCAGCTTTCTGAATATCATTTTGTGGAAGAGACTATTCTTTCATCACGTGTGTTCCTGACACCCTTGTTGAAGATCCGCTGACTCTGAGTGTGGTTTTATTTCTCAGCTGCTGCTGCTGGTAGCTCCAGCAGCTCCTGTTCTTGTTAAGCAGAGATCTCAGCGATGACTGTATTTTTCTCTCTCCAGCTTTTGGGGTGACATTTTTTCTGAAACCTCAGTTCTCTGATGGGTCAAAAAAAGTCACTGGTTTTTCGTTTCCCTCAGATTTTTCTTGTGAAAAGGGAACTGACCAACAGACTCTAGTTTTCTTTTAAATTTGTATGACCAGATGTTTACCCATAGCTATTTAGACAGTTCAGCAAAACACAATCGTTTCGTTTTTGCATTTAGAGCAAATGACCATCTGTGACAGCTAGAATCAATTAAATTATATATGGTCACTATCGGTGGCAGCTTCTAAGTTCATGTAGAAGGTATGTTTTGTTCCTAAGTCTCTGAGAGTGTATATGGTTTAACAGCTATCATAAACATCCAAGTTAAATTGGATATGGCTGTAGTAGGCAGAACCCTGAAATACCCTCCTAACCTGGAAGTTATAAATTTTGACAAAGTCTGTCTTATCTATTTTCACTTGTAGATCATGTCTCAAAACTGAACTGTTTGCCTAATCCCAGGTTACAAAGGTGGGATGTTTTCTTCCATGTTCACTGTTTTTAGTTTTATATTTAAATGGTTCATTTGGAGTTAGGGTTTTTTATTTATTATTTTTTGGCGGTTCTGGGGTTTGAACTCAGGGCCTCACACTTGTTCAGCAGGTGCTCTACCACTTGAGCCACTCCGCCAGCTCCCACTTCCCTGCCGTTAGTTTTTATATAAAGTATGAGGTTTGACAATATAGGCACCATACAACAAGTCCTCACATAACCTGAGGCAAAAAAAATACCCCTGATAAACTGAAAGGAGAAATAGAAAACCCATAGTTGTGCTTGGAGAACTCACTACTCCTCTCAGAAATGAACAGATCAGCAAGGACATAGATGGTCCAAACAGCACCCTCCTGGCCTTATTGGCATTTGTAGACCACCCAGTAACATCCCTTCCCAGCCTGGCTTGACTGGCAGATCTGCCGGCAAGAGGAGGCTCAAAGCAGACCAGGGCACAGTTACCACTTAGTCCCCACCCAGGATCCCAGGGCCATGCCTGCTCTGGAGTTCCAGGCACGTGTATTGAAAGCTCTTGCTCAAGGCTACAGTGGGAAGGAAAGGCTGCCTTCCACTTAGCAGCTGCCCCAAGCCCCAAAGGATTACAGGGGTTTAGATGTCTAATGCAGGGAGGGGGCACCTAAAAGCCCCACACCTACCTCTCCACACAGATTTCCTTTAAGGACCTCCAGTGACTACAGACATAAGCATCACCGTGCACCTGCATTTTCTGAGCCCTTCTTGTCTCTAATACATTCAGGCTCAGTTGTCAGGCTGGCCAGATTCCTCTGAAATCTTTGAAATCAGGATCTACTTCTGGTGACACCCCTGTGTGTGCGCCAGGAGCCCCTTGGAACCTCCTGCCCAATCAGGGAGGCGTTTGCCAGAAAGGAAGGCCAGGGGCGGGCATCTGCACGGGAGTCAGGGAGTGTGCCAGGTGTCAATGGCTCACATCTGTAGTCCTAGCTATTCTGGAGGCAGAGATCAGGAGGATCATAGTTCAAAGTCAGCCCAGGCAAATAGTTCACAATATCCTATCTCAAAAATACTCAACACAAAAAGGGCCGGCAGAGTGGCTCAAGGTGTAGAGTGCTTGCCTAGCAAACATGAGGCTCTAAGTTCAAACCCTAGTATTGTGGGGGGGGAAAAAAAAAGGGAGTGACACAATGTGCACCCACTTGGAGGACAGCCCTTTTAGGGACAGGGCTCCAGAAAATATCACTGTCTTATTAAGCACATAAAGAAAATTATCCCCCTAATACAGTTTCCACCTACTTTCTCTCTATGCTCCTTTATGAGGACTGTCCTCACTGCCTTCTGTGGCCATCTCTTCATGTGAATCTGGGATCCCCACCCCGAGCGAGGCTCTTGCAGTCCCATGTTGGTAGCAGAGTGAAAAGCGTGGTCCCAGACTCAGTAAGGAGAGAGAGCCACTGGAGGTGACACTCCTGGACGATTTCATTAACAGCTGCTGAAGTCCTCACCATCTCAAAAGCAAGGAATTCCAGGGTCAAAAGGGTACATATCGTGCTGGGGGTCACAGGCTCAATTAATGGAATTAGGGTTGACTGAGCCACTAAGGGGTGTCCCCTCAGGAGGGTAGAGGGTTTAGGAGGATGGACTGGCCAAGCCTGGAAGGAAACATTGGCCAACCATCACCTGATCCATGGTCTGACAGTGGCTGAGCCTAATTTCAGGACCAAAGGCCAGAGGCTGCTGCGGGGGGAGGGCAGGAGGTCTGAAGCCTGAACGCGGCCAGGGTGTTGGAAAAAGAATTTACAGCAAACTGGGTTGCACCACCCAGCTTCAGCGGGCCCTAGGGCAGGTGGACAGCCCTGGAGCCTTCAGAAGGCTGGGGTGCGGGGGGATGCAGGGGGTGGATGGCAATGCCTGAGGGCTGCTGAGGAGCCTGAGCTTGGGTTTCCCCGTGTCTAGTCCAAACCTCCTGGGAAGAACATCCTCCTCAACGCCCCCGCGGACAGGGTCCACGTCTCCCCTGCTGGCTGGCAGGGGACCCGGAGGCCTGCAGGGGCCTGAGGGCCTCACCAGACCAGCGGGCTGGCGCTGGCGTCGGGGGTCCGGCCAACCCGCCCTCCCCGTCGGCTTCTCGCTGTGCTGGCCAGCGTCTCCTCCAACCCAGAGCGGCACTGGCCGACGCTGGGCCTGCCTGTGCCGGTCCCTCATTCAATGCCCATCTCTTCTGCCAGTGTCCCAGGGCGCGTAAGTTCTAGATGAGCAGACAGGGCGCACGGTGGAACGGCGCACCCCGCATTAGCCGGGGCGAGGCGGGGCGCGCGGGGGGCGGGACTCCGGGGAGTGCGCGCGGCGGGTTAGCGGTGCCCCGCGCCTGCCCGGCCGCGTGGGGCTGGCGCGCCATGGGGAACCGCAGCGCTGCAGACGCGGGTGGGCTGCTGGCCGGGCGTGGGCCGGACGCAGGGGCCCCGGGCGCGGGACTTGGGGTGGCGGGCTCGGCGGTGCTGGCGGGGGGCGTGCTGCTGATAGGTGCGGTGCTGGCGGGGAACTCGCTCGTGTGCGTGAGCGTGGCCTCGGAGCGCGCTCTGCAGACGCCCACCAACTACTTCATCGTGAGCCTGGCGGCCGCGGACCTCCTCCTCGCCCTGCTGGTGCTGCCGCTCTTTGTCTACTCCGAGGTGAGCCTGAGTGCGCCCTGTCCTAGTCCCCTCCGAGGCCCCTGCGCGACCTGCGGTTTGCACTCTCTGGAGTCTTAGGCCCCTGCGTTTGCCAGGCGCCTGGGCCCATCACACCCTGGCCCCCACTAGACCCTGCGCCTTTTCTGCTGTTAGTTCGTTCTCCTACCCTCTCCTTGGTCCCTCTCCTTTTCCCTTCTCTCTTGGCATCTGTCACCCAAGAGAGAGGCCCTTGTCCATCCAGCCTGGGGATCCCAGAAACTGGCGACTTCCTCAGTCATGCTCTGCCCTCCTCCCCAGCTCTGCCTCCCCCTTTCCCTGGGAGCCAGCTGGACAGACAGGCAGGTGTGGCTCAGCCCCTGCACTGCCCACCGCCATGCCTGGCCACCCGCATGCCTGCATTGGTCAGTCCCCACCAGCACAGCCAGTGGAGGAAGCCCACTGCCTGCGGCCACGCAGCTGCCGGGAGCTGAGGGCAGTGAGCAGAACGCAGGGAAGGAGGCCTGCGCAGTCAGAGAACCTGAGTTGTGTGGGTCAGAGCTCCTGCAACAAGTCTGGGCTTGGGGTGGGTCCCCTGTGGTGCCAACCCCTCTGCTCTGAGGTTTGACCAGAGAAAAGCCGATTAGGTCTCTGCTGGGAACACTGTGTCCTGAGCTGTGGGGGATGGGAGACCTGGGTTTTTTAAGGTGGATGTGGTGAGTCCTGGCACTGGGGCAGAGGCTAGCAACACAAGGCCACGCTTGACCTCAGCTCCTCCCTAGCCGCAGACAGACGTCACCATTAAGCTCCTAATCGTCCCAAATCAGTGGGAAGGGATTTAGGGGGTGAGGAGCTGTAGCTTCTTTGCCCTTGAGGAGGGCTACCCCCTTGTGAAATCCTGGACAGGGCACTGTGAGGTTGTTTATGTCCTCAGGACAGTTGTTATGTGGATATTGTCACTACTCTCATCTCACAATGAGATAACAAGTGAAGGAACTCGGCCAAAGTCCCACTGTGACAGTTGAACCAGACAGGATGACTCTTAGCTGCGCCCTGGGGGAAAGGAGACTTTCGGTTTGAGTTTGGGGTGCGCTTGGGAATCCCTTCCAGCAGATGGCATCACCCTCCACTCTTAGGTCTTCCCCAGACTTCTCACCTCCTAACAGGAGACAGCAGGTCTACCACCCGCCCAGCCCTATGTGCTGAGGGACAGTCCAGGCCAGTGGACGTCCCCAGCTGCTTCAGGCTCACATCGCGCTCGCATTGCACTCTCATCGGGTTCCCTTCATTGCACTCTCATCGGGTTCCCTTCCTGTCTGATCCTTAGCCCTTGCTCGCCCCGAATTGTGGGGGTCAGAGAGTCCTCGGCTAGGAAAGTTCAGGTCTTGCGTCTCATTGCTTCATCTTCTGCATGGCCAGGTGCAGGACGGCACGTGGCTGTTCAGCCCCCGCCTCTGCGACGCGCTCATGGCCATGGACGTTATGCTGTGCACCGCCTCCATCTTCAACCTGTGCGCCATCAGCGTGGACAGGTGAGCCCCGGCCAGCCGCGCGCCCCGCCCACCCCGCGTGGCCTGCTCCGCGGGCCTCACCGCGCTCTGCGCCGCGCAGGTTCGTGGCGGTGGCGGTGCCGCTGCGCTACAACCGGCAGGGTCGGCGCCAGCTGCTGCTCATCGGCGCCACGTGGCTGCTGTCGGCCGCGGTGGCGGCGCCCGTGCTCTGCGGCCTCAACGATGTGCGCGGCCGTGATCCGGCCGTGTGCCGCCTGGAGGACCGCGACTACGTGGTCTACTCGTCCGTGTGCTCCTTCTTCCTGCCCTGTCCGCTTATGCTGCTGCTCTACTGGGCCACGTTCCGCGGCCTGCGGCGCTGGGGGGCCACGCGGCGTGCCAAGCTGCATGGTCGTGCGCCCCGCCGGCCCAGCGGTCCGGGCCCGCCCGCGCCGGACCTCCCCCAGAGCCCCGGCTGCCCCGACTGTCCACTCCCCTCGCCGCACCTCCCCCAGAGCCCCGGCTGCCCCGACTGTCCACTCCCCTCGCCGCACCTCCCCCAGAGCCCCGGCTGCCCGGATTGTCCACTCCCCTCGCCGCACCTCCCCCAGAGCCCCGGCTGCCCGGATTGTCCACTCCCCTCGCCGCACCTCCCCCAGAGCCCCGGCTGCCCGACTGTCCACTCCCCTCGCCGCACCTCCCCCAGAGCCCCGGCTGCCCGACTGTCCACTCCCCTCGCCGCACCTCCCCCAGAGCCCCGGCTGCCCGGATTGTCCACTCCCCTCGCCGCACCTCCCCCAGAGCCCCGGCTGCCCCGACTGTCCACTCCCCTCGCCGCACCTTCCCCAGAGCCCCGGCTGCCCCGACTGTCCACTCCCCTCGCCGCACCTCCCCCAGAGCCCCGGCTGCCCGGATTGTCCACTCCCCTCGCCGCACCTCCCCCAGAGCCCCGGCTGCCCCGACTGTCCACTCCCCTCGCCGCACCTTCCCCAGAGCCCCGGCTGCCCCGACTGTCCACTCCCCTCGCCGCACCTCCCCCAGAGCCCCGGCTGCCCGGATTGTCCACTTCCCCCACAGGGTCCCCCCCAGAGCCCCTGTGGCCTGGACTGTCCATTCCCCACGCGGGGCCTCCCCCAGAGCTCCTGCTGCCCCCACTGCTCGTCCCCCGACGATGCTATCCCCGAGGCCCTCCCGCACGGCCCCCGACACCTGCCCGCAGGAGGACGCGCGCCAAGATCACAGGCAGGGAGCGCAAGGCCATGAGAGTCCTGCCGGTGGTAGTCGGTGGGTTCCTGCCCTTGGGCGAGGCGGGACCGATGGATGGTGGGAATGGGAGAGGAGAGGGGGGTCCCTGGGGAGGTGGAGGCCCGGGAGGGGTCCGGGGGTGCTGGCTCAAGGCTCACGGAGGCCGCCCCCAGGGGCCTTCCTGGTGTGCTGGACGCCCTTCTTCGTGGTGCACATCACCCGGGCGCTGTGTCCGGCCTGCTTCATGCCCCCGCGCCTGGTCAGCGCCGTCACCTGGCTGGGCTATGTCAACAGCGCTCTCAATCCTGTCATCTACACCGTGTTCAACGCGGAGTTCCGCAACGTCTTCCGAAAGGCCCGGCGCCTCTGCTGCTGCTGAGCAGGCCACCCTTGCCCTGAAAAGAGGGCAAGGACACCCCAGCAGGTGGGGCCATGCCTCTGATCAAACAGATTCCTCCCTACCCACCTGTGAAGGCTCCTGGGGTGGGGAGAGAGCAGGGAAGGGAGGGGGGCCTCACTGGCCCCATACCCACCCTACAGTTGGTTAAACCCCTCTGTCCTCCCAGGAGGTGCTCAGGGAGGGGAAGGCTCTCAAGGGTCCTTGTTCTGCTCAAGGAGGAGTGTCCACAGCACCTGACTCAGTTTCCCCCTCACTATGAGAGAGCGGGGCAGGGAGAGGAACTGTGCCCTCAGAGTGTGGTTATGGGAGTCTCCTGGGACTGCCCGGTCCCTAGAGGGAAGGCATCCAAGGACCCAGCCAGGCCAGCTCCTGCTTCTTAAGAGTCCCAGCAAGACGGAGCTCTGGGTTGGGCTGTCACTGCACAGTGCAGCTGGACTGGCCTCCTTGAGGTCAGAGTACAGCTGCCTGCCAGCTTCTGGCCAGAAGATGCTCGAAACTCAGCGGAGAGGGGCTTAGGACACTGACCAAGCCCTGCCTGCACGCCTCCCTGGTGGGAAGACCACATGCAGGGCCACCAGGTGCTCAAGCAGCCTCTGCTCCATGGCTAGGCCCTGGGGCAGAATGGCCCAAGGCTGGGCAGAGACCCAAGCTGTCTCTGAGCTGTCTTCTCAACCACAGTGCAGCTCCCTGTCCCTGAGAACAAAGGGGGCAACTACTGGCAGGGACAGCCCATTCTGGATGGCACCGTGGCTGTCCGGGTCCCCCCACTCCCACCCCATCCTGTCCTTGGTCATGGGAGAGAGAGATGTGGGTCAGGCCTGCGGGTGGGAGCGTTCCTGTGTCGAAGCTGCAACGACAGCTAGCACAAGGTGCCACATTCTCTTAACACTGGGAGATTATGGACTGTGAGTTCTGTGGCTACAGGCATAGCCTCAGTGTGCTAAAATACTCCATGCAGAGTACTCCAGTACCAGTAAGTACTGCAGCTCCCCCCACTGGATGTGTGTGTCCCCTGCCACCTTCTCCAAGAAGCTTCCCTTACACTGGTATCACCCTGAATGTGCCTGGCCCTTGGTGATCCCTGCTGAAAACCTCTGCAGACAGAAGAGTGAGGCCATGACTCATGTGGGTGGGACAGAAACCACCAGAGGCCTGATACAGCTAGGGGGACTCAGCCTCAAGTGCTAGCACCTGAAACTCTGTGAGCCTTACCAGGCTTAGAGACACCCAACACCCATGAAGTCCCCAGGTTTCTATTCTCTGAAATGGAAACTGCCCCCAACACACCCGTCTTGGTGCTCTGAGGCCCTCACATGGCTCCACCCAGGGGGTAGGCACTCTGGGCAGCCCTGCAGGCTGCCCCCTGGTCAGCAGAGATCTGGTTATTTTCAGGTTTGGGGGATTTGGGTGCAGGTGCCTTGCTGGATCTCCTTTGGTCCTCAGTCTCCTGCCACTGTTAGGCTGCGCGCCCCCTGGGGAAAGCCAAAACCACACTGAAGAGCCTCAGTAGACTCTCCTGGGCCTGAACATGGCCAAGGGCAAAGCCCCTGCTGAACAGTGGGGACTGAGGCCGCCACCAGAGAGAGCTTCCAGGAAACAGGGCCAGTGTAAAAGGATACTAGGCTCACTCAGGGCAGAAATAAACTGCACGGTTGTGAGGACCCCAGACTCAGCAGGGAGAGGCCTCAGGCTGGGTGCTTGGAGCCCCAGTGCCTGGGCTCACTGTAAAGCCCAGGGAGAAGGAAATGGGATCCAGGGCCTCCTGGGCTCACCTGCCCTTCCTCTCAGGGATGTCTGGCTACCCCAGGAATCTCTGGATTCTGTTGGGTACAGAAAATCCTTCCAGCAGGATTCAGAACAATTCCCAGCTTGGTGCAGGGCTGGGAATTTACTTTCACACACCATGGTGTGAAGCTGGCGGACACTCATACCCCGCAGAAACACTGCTTTAGAGGAGTGAGAATCACTGTGTGTGTAGGGTCACCCTAAGCTTGCCAGGCGATGTTCAAGACTGCACCTCCAGGCCCTCAAAGAGCCTGCACCTCCATTCCACAGCACAGAGGAGCCTCTGGACCTAAGTCCAGAAGAGATGAGACCACAAGAGGATTTCTGAAAACATGCAGAAGCCTCTGGAACATGGACGACTGCCCTTTGGCAGCTCTCTTGGTCAGTAGAGGAGCTAGATCCATTCCAGGTCAAATATGCTGGATGAGCCTCCCCCAGTGGCACCCAGCCCCCTTGGTCTTGCTTCTGGGGACAATGGCCACCACAGGGCTAGGTAATGAGAAGAGACAGAGTGGACAGAAAGAAAACATGACCAGGGCTTTGCACGCAGAAGCCCTGGGCACAAGCCACCCATCTCATTTCACGTGTATTAAATGGGGCTGTCCTGGGACCTCTTGAGAGGCGCAGCCTGGACACCAGGGGAGTCCAGGGAGAGGATCAGGAGCCCAGCCTATGTCTAGGTGGCCACACCGTTTTCATGGAACATCTCAAGGAAAGATAGGCTGGAAACTTCTCAGAGGCTACAGATTGGCCTGCATCATGTGCCAGCCCTTGCTTGGGTCTGTCTCAGCACCATGGATGCACCATACCTGACGCATGGAGGTCCCACCCACAATCAGGACACACAGTGGGGACCTTCAGGCCTCTGAGCCCCAAGCGGCACTGGGATCTCCTGTCTGGGTGGCTGTGGGAACTTTATTTACAACTTTATTGACAGACACAACACATATGTACACACATTGTGGCACAGGGCACTCCTGTGAGTAAAACTGACGCTCATGATCCAGGGACGAAAGAGCACCGTGACAGGGCAGGGACCCTGGGCTGCCGAAGCACCCTGCCCTGCAATGCCACCACCATTCCTCAGGGCTCCAGCAGGAGGAGTTCATCTCCGAGGACACAGTCACTCAGACTGCTAACAACTTGTCCAGCAAGTTCCTTCACTTCCCACAGCCCCTCTTCTCAATGTCCCCCACATCTTTGAGAGGCCTTTGAGCTTCGATAGCCTCACAGTGGTGTGGGGAGGGGCCTGGCTCACACAGTGACTTTCTCAATCACGCTCTCTTCCACATGGACTTCATCTGCCTGGACAGTGACAGCTGCTGACTGGCCACACATGTGCTGATGGTCTTTCCAGTCCTGAAAGGAAGGTCATGCATATTAACAGAAGGCCAATGAAGGAGCTGCCCCCTGGGCAGAGCAAGATGTCTGTACACAAAGGCCTTGGTGGGAACCCTGGGCCCTCACTCATCTAAGCACCTGTGTACCTGGGCCTGTTCTGAATGTCCCTGCCTAGTGTCCAGCATTCCCCACACTTGGGGGGTTGCGGGGATCTGACAAGCAGGTTGACCCTATAAACAAGATTCCTCAATTTGCTCAGACACTTCCATCCCTTTTGGTTTTGTTTTTCTTTCTTGTGGTGCTGATGAACCCAGGGCCTGCTGCATGCTAGGCAAGCGCTCCACCACTGAGCTACACCCCTGCCTTTCCATGTTTTATTTTGTTTCAATTTGTTTTTTGCTATCAGGAATTTAAACAAAAAAACAGAGCCACGCACAGTGTAGCGTGCCTGTAATCCCAGTACGTGGGAGATAGGAGGCAGGAGGATGATGCCTGTAAGGCCAGCCTGGACTATACGGCCAGGCCAAAAATTAAAATTAAAACAAAGTAAAGGGCTGGTGGAGCAGCTCAAGTAGTAGAGCGCCTGCCTAGGAAGTGTGAGGCCGAGTTCAAACCCCAGTACTGCAAAAAAAAAAAAAAAAAAAAATGCCTCATTTCCTCATTTTCATAATAAAAATTGCATGAAAAGAAACTAAATCCACACTGTGGAAGCACACACTGGCACACTGCGTGCACTGGACACAGTGCCTGCCACTCCTCCAGCAGTGGCCTCAGGATGGCTTCTGGCCTCCATGCTCGGAACCGCCTGCGCCACTGGACGCGGTCTCCCCGCAGGCACGGGAGCCTCAGGTCCCACGGAGTTCTAGATGCTTCCTCACGTATGCAGACGAGAATGCATTCTGCCCAGGGTGTGTACAGACAAGGGACCAGAGGCACATGTTAGTGCCAGGCCAGCAAGAAAAGTGGTTTCCATTCTGGTTTTTGAGCAAAAGGGCAAAAATGCCCAAGGTTGAATAGTGAACTCTCAACTTCTGAAATAATATAATAAACAATAAAAAAGCTTTACCATCTTAAACATCATCATTTGAAAAGTGAGAGTTGGAAATTAGTCTTAGTTTTAGAAAAAAATGAAGGTTAGGCACGGTGGTTTACACCTGCAATCCTAAACTACTGAGGCAGCAGAGATTGGGAGGATTGGGGTTCAAGGCCAGACAGGCAGAAAGTTAGCCAAGACCCCATCTCAACTAATAAAAAACTGGGCATGGTATCATGCATCTGTCATCCCAGCTACATGGGAAGCATAAGTCCAGGCTGGCCTGGGCTTAAACTCAGAGCCTATCTCAAAAATAACCAAAGCAAGAAGGGCTAGCAGGTGGCTCAAGTGATACAGCACCTGCCCAGCAAGCATGAGGCCCCTGAGTTCAACCTAAACAGTACTGTTTTTGGCCCCTGCCAAAAGGAAAGTGGCTAAATTTACACACACACACACAAAGAATGAAAAATGCCTGAAACAACGAAAAGACAAAATACAACATTATATACTTTTTTGTCATCATACACTTTTAAAACAATGACAAAAAAATCCCATTATGACACTGGAGCTGTGGCTCAAGTGGTAGGCAGAGCACCTTGTCAGTTCAAACTGTAGTCCCACCAAAAAAAAAAAAAAAAAAAATCCCATTAAAAAATAATCCATATTTGACTATAAATGATCCAGGACTGGTGGATGAAAAGCATGATGTCTGGGGCTTGTTTTAAAATGCTGGATCCCTAGGCAGGCACAGTGGTAGAGTGACTGCCTAGCAAGTGCGAGGTCCTGAGTTCAAACCCCAGTACCACCAAATACATAAATAATAAAATAAAATGTTGGGCCCCCAAAGGAGGGAAGGATGAACCAGGAAGGCGGGCCTGACTGGGGGTGGGCCTGGCAGGCTTCCCTAGATGACCACACCATGGACATTCAAATTCTCCGTGGTTAATGGTCTGTGGTTGGGAACTGAACACACTCACTAGTCCTGGAAGCCCCTGGCAGAGGACAGAGATGCTCAGGGCACCTCCAAACCCCTCTGTGGACAGGCCCTGCTGTCTGGAGAACGTGAAGACACCCTATCTACAGGCACAACTGTGGTGAGGGTGCAAGACGCCCAAGGGCTTCAAATCCCTCCCTGCTGACAGCCTCAGACACACACAGCAGGTCCTTCAGGGGCCTGCGTGGCAATGTGTGCAGGCTCACAAGCATTTTGTAGTCTACGCACCAACCCCAGTGTAATTAAGACTGTAAGATTATTATTATTTTTAAAAGTAAGACGTTAAGGTATGCATGGGATACATGCCTGTAATCCCAGCACTCAGGAGGCCAAGGCAGGCGGGTGGTGAGATCAAGGCCAGCCTGGGCTACCTCAATACTGCCACACAAACAAACAAGCAAAGGAAAGCAACCCAGGGCCATCACCCTCCCCAGCTACTTATTTACTCATGCATTGTGGTAGGGTTTGAACTCAGGACTGCACGCTTGCAAGGCAGGCCTCCAGACCCTCTCTGGGTATTTTAAGTAGCACAGGTAAGGATGTATCCTTATCACTTACTAAAAGTAGCTTGGCTCTTCTGTCTCTAGATCCCATCTAGTGCTCATTTGAGATCCCATATGAGAATCATGGATTGTGGAATCCACGCAGTCAGTCTACAAATCAATAAACTGGAGTGTGTGTCAGAGGACAGACTTGATGCCATCAGCCTGTAAAATGCAGGCTTTGTCAACAGCATTGTTGCTGGTGACGAGTTGAGGGGAGACTGCAGCTTGCGTTTAGAGGGAACATCATCCAGCCAAATGTCTTCATCAAGGCCCAAGCCCACTGTCCCCGACCTGGGACACCTACTTTCAGTTCGCCTTCCCCACAACCTTGGGCTTGTGGCGAAGAGGCCCTGTGAGTGGCAGCATAGCCTGGATGCCCTTTTCTTAGTGTGAAATCTTTTTAGCAAAGCTGGGGGTGTGGGGACAGACTTTTGGCTCTGTTTTCTGAATCTCAGTACCCTGGGGACAGAGGGGCTGCCGGGGAACTGGACACTGTGTGGAGGACGGGACCGGAGCCTTGTACCCTGGGGGCAATGGCTCTCTTGAACCCTCGAGGGCACTCAAAAGGACTGTGCGAGGTCCTGTGGGGGCAAGGACACTGTCCCTTCCTTGCACTGTGCACCCGTCAGGCCCTCTGAGTGGTCTGCAGACCCAGGGGCATGCGCCCAGCTCACTGACTACCCTTCATGGCCACCTTCCCATGTCCTGCCCCTCTTGTACACCTGTTAGGATGTAGTGGGGCTTCAGCAAATGCCAGGCAGAGGCAGACAGGTTACATGAGACAGCCAGGTCAGCTTCCCTGTCTATTCACCCAGGCAGTTTCTTTTCACCCAGAAGCTCCCAATGGCACCGAGTAGAGAATATAATGGGGAGTGGGTTCCCTGAGGCCACTGCTTGGCAACCACCATCACAAGCAAGTTCCAGCCCGTCCCTGGGAACAAGATGGCCCTTCCTGTTTACTTCTCAGGTTAGAAAGCAGAGGGCACTGAGGCCCGACTTCCACCACTCAGCCATGGGCCAGGTTAGTCAGTGGTCATCTGAGGAATCCCTGCCCAGCTCTGATGCTAGCACCTCACCCTCCCTCCATCAGTCTCACAAGGCAAGGCTGAAGCTGGACCAAAAGAACAAACTAGTCATCTAGAGCATCCTTAGGGAGACACTCTGTGAAGAGCAGGGCACTGCTAAGACCCTATGAGAGGAACGGGACAACAAGGCCTACCGAAGTGTGCACAGTATCAGCTGGGCCAAACGCAGAGGGAAGAGAACACCCTGCTTTCCAGCCGCACCGCCCCCCATCTCTGCACCCAGCAGGGTGCAGCAGCCAGTCAGCAGGGGACAAGGGACAGAGAACACCACAGGGAAAGCATTCTAGGGGTGGGAAGCCTCAGAATGCGTTCTAGGAAATCAGGGTGACAATCTCAGAATGAGATTTGTTTATTAAATAAAAATAATAAGTCTATTAACTGTCCCAAAGCACTCTGAGTAAGGGGAAAGGTGTTAAGAAGTAATATACATTTGCTGGCTTGGAAAAACCAGCTTTTAATTTCCTTCGAACCAGTGGCTAAATAAAGGAAGCACAGAAATTATGGCCTGCTGGGCTGGGGTTTAACAAGGACGCATACTTGCCACAGCACACACGTGACTTCAGAGCCAGTTGAGAGTCTGTGGACGTGGGGTGGAGGAAGGGTGGGGCAGGGCACTGCGGACCAGGAAGGAAAAGATGCCTGTGAGTCATGAGAGGCCTCAGCCTTCTGCAGAGAACCTGGCAGAGCACCCCAGTCCTGGGCAGCCCTGGACAAGCTCTAAGCTGACTACGACCCTAAGCCCACATGCACTGGGTAGGAGACACTACCTTGCGCTGGCAGAATGTGGAGCAGTAGTTGACCTTGTGGCAGCCGGTGCACTCGCTCATGGCCTCCCGGCCACAGTTGACACAGGACTGCTGCAAATGGACAACAAAGCATCAGAGACATGGAAAGTGCTAGGTACCCACAGAGCCACCCAATCTGAAGAGACACAGCACCAGATGCAGCTTGGACTCTGCAATGTGACAGATACACACACTCAACCCCTCAGAACCAGCCCTTCCCTTCCCGAGTCTGCCAGGACTGCTCAACTGGAAGACCAAGGTCCAAACTCCCAGGGATCTGCTCCAGCCCAGCAGCACGGACAGCACAGCTCAGAACACCTGACTGCTCACAAGTCCAGACCTGCAGACATGCAGTGGGACCTGTTGAGCCACCTGGACTGCACTGCACCAGCTCAGATGTGGGGTGACACCCCATGTTCCCAGTGCCTACCAAGGCTCCACCTGTGTGCATCCTGAACCGGTTGGTGGGGTTTACCGAAAGGTATGTTGTGCCAGACATTTTGTGTCTTTTCCTTTAAGGTTCACCACTGGAGTTTTTCTTTTTCATTAGCTGACATGCTGCACAAAGGCAACTTATTTAAAACAGGACCAATTTGTGTGGCACGGCTGACTGGCATTTGACAACTGTGAATATTCTCCAATGTGGAGGAAACCACCAAGCAACATCCAGTGTGGGTGTGGGGCTGGTGAGGCAGCAGACAGCAGCCTGCTGTAGCCAGCACACAGACAAACCAAAAACTCCCATGTTCACGATGCTTCTTTATTCATCTGCCACTACTTCTCATCCAGGCTCCTGCTCTGAACTTCTGCTCCTTCTTCACCGTTTCCCACTTATGAAACACTAGCCACCCCTGCCTTCACTGGCTTTAGAAAGTGTGAGCCCCAGGTGGGGCCCGGGGCTGACTGAGCTGCCCTGCCTCCACCTCAGCTGGGTTTTCTTTTCCTCCCTCCCTTTCTTTTCTTTCTTTTTTTTTTGGTGGGACTGAGGTCTGAACTCAGGGATTTTTGCTTGCAAAGCAGGTGCTCCACTGCTTAAGCCACACCTCTAGTCCATTTGGCGCTGGTTATTTTGGAGATGGGGGTCTCATGAACTATTTGCCCAGACTGGCCCCAACTCAGATCCTCCCAACTAGCTAGGATAATAGGTGTGAGTCACCAGTACATGGTCCTCCCCCACACCGCTTTTTTTTTGGGTGCCAGAGATGAACACTGGGCCTGACCTGTGGTAGGCCAAGTGCTCTACCACTGAGTCACACCTACCCCCCAGTCCTTGCCTCTATTTTAAAGTATTTTCTTCAAAGTACTATTAAAAAAGAAGTCTGCTCTCACAGGCAAGGAGTCCCCAGCCTCTGCGCTTTGTGAGAGGTGGGTTCAGACCCTACCACCAAGGGCACCACAGGGACTGTCCATCTGCACAACACCCAGTGTGGCTTGAGCATCAACTCACAAGGCAGCAGCGACACGGAGAACAAGTGGCTGCATCCTACGTGCTGCACTGCTGGTTTGAAATCACACAAATTCTGTCATGGTAACTGAGCAACTTCTCAAAAGGAGCCAACCAAGAATCGGATGAAGAGCCAGGTGCTGGTGGCTCACCTGTCATCCTCACTACTCAGGAGGCAGAGAGCAGGAGGACTGAGGTTCAAAGCCTGCCCAAGCAAATAATTTGTAAGAAAAAAAAAATAATTTGTAAGACCCTGTGTCCAAAAAAACCATCACAAAAAAGGGCTGCTGACTGGCTCAAGGTGTAGGCCCTGAGTTCAAACCCCAGCACTGCAAAAATACAAAATAGGAAGAGATCACTTATAAAATGCTCAGTAATTATTATGGAGGAGTACGTTCAATAATGTATTTGTTATTCATTCCGCAAATAACCTAAAAAGTTGAACTTGAACTTGGGAGCTGCACACTGATGGAACAACACTCCATCTCCAAGACAACCAGTCGTCACCTCAGTCTTTACTCGACCTCTGGGCTGATGGATGAGCAACTTACTGTGGACAAACCAGTGCCTTCCCAGGGGGAGTGCAGCAGGTTCCCTCCAACGCCCAGTCTTAGAGAGCTGCCCACATGCCCGCGACTCTGCTGCTGGCCTCGCTTCTGCTCAGAACCACTTAAACACTATGGTCAGTGCACATCCACGTCCACATCTGCAGGCTCTGGGCCTCACCTGTCGCTGAGTGAACCACAGATGGAAAGGAAAGCAGAGGCCCCAGGAGGGCAGGGGACCCACTTTGCCTTCATCCTGAAAGCTGCCTCTCCCATTAGCAGAGCATGTAGAAAGTATACCAAGTCTCCTCTGTTTGGCATGTCAGATATTTGCTTTCCTCCTGTGCAGCCTTGCTGGGCATAGCTGCAGGCTCAGTGGGTGGAGGAAAGACCTGCACAGGAGTCATAGTCTCAGCCTGCAGATGGGGTGGCTCAGACCACACCAGCTCCAAGTTGCCCAGCTGTGAGGCCAAGGGTAAGATCCCTTGATTCTAGTGTGCAGCGTGTCTCCTGGTCTGTTAAAAGTGCACAGGGAAGCAGTGTGGTGACAATATCTGTAATTCCAGCACTCAAGAGGCTGAGAGCCAGGCACTGGTGGTCACCCCTGTAATCCTAGCTACTCAGGAGGCAGAGATCAAGAGGATTGTGGTGTGAAGCCAGCCCAGGCAAATAGTTTGTGAGCCCCTATCTCAAAAAAACTCATCACAAAAAAGGGTTGGTGGAGTGGCTCAAGGTGTAGGCCCTGAGTTCAAACCCCAGTACCACATTAAAAAAAAAAAAAAGAGGCTGAGGCAGGAGGGCTTCAAGGTCAAAACTAGCATAGACTACACAGTGAGACTTTGTCTCAAAAAAAGAGAAAGAAAAGCCCAATGGGTGTGTGTGCACACCTGTGTGTGTGAGCATGACTGTGACACCCCATCACTGAGGGAAACAGAGACAAAAATGACATGGAGACAAAGAGCTCACATGGTGTTCAAAGGCCACTGGGCCCAGAGCAGCCTTGTCCATGTTCAGTCTGCTGGGCACATCTTCAGTGCTGGACACATGGTCTGTGCCCCATGATGAGACAAGGGTGGAGGTCAAGTGTTCAATACCCCTGAATCCCCCAGGGCTCTCAGGGAGGTTTCTAGTCCACCACCCACGTCTGGGAAAAGCAGGTCAAAAATACGACAGCAGACACAGCACATGCTCCACAAGGGATGCCTTGGGCTGTGGATGTGCAGTGCAGCTCTGGGAGGACACAGATGGGCTCCATTTCTTTTCTAACGCTGTAGCCTGTGCCTTTAAGGCAGCAACCCTGCTTCCTGCAGGGTGGTCTCCATGGCCCACAGAGGGCCAAGGAAACTGGGGCGCCACCAGGTTTTCAGGAGAACTTTATAGAACCCAACCCTCCCTCTACCTTTGCCTGCCTGGAGCCTTGAGCTCCAGCCAGGAAACTGACCCAACTCACACCACACTGGCCAGGCTGGAGCCCCAATGGACAGATGGCAGATGGACAGAAGCCTTGGGGTTGCCCCTACAATGAACGGCTGGTCACCACAGGCACCTGCTCTAGCAGAGGAAGCCTTGGGGTTCTGGTTCAATTTAATAACAGAAGCGCAAACCAGACATGACTGTTTCTGAGAGGAAGCACCTGAAGAAGAGGAAACCCTAAACCCATATCTTTATCTGAAGGCGGAACCATATACAGGCACAGGCCAGGGGATCAGTCTTTCTGTGAAACCGCCAGATTTCTCCCCTTGGTCACACTACTTGACATCAAACCCACAACCACCTGGAAAAGGAAGGCTCACCCTGTGGTCAGGCCGATATGGGGGGAAGCCAGGCACCTGTAACAATAGCGCCGTGTCTGGGCCTTCCCAGCGCCTGGGCTGGTGTTTGCTGCGCTGCCTGCCTAGCCTTCCTCTGGTCCCGTGTCCCCTTGTGTGCCCCACCAGCTCCCTCCTGAGGCTCCTGAGACAGTGTTTGCAGGTGTTCTGCTGCTGCCCAGGTGCTGAGGAGCTTCCTAGGGACTCAGTGATGGGCAGTGACATCCCTTGCCATGGCCGTCTGGGCTCAGGCAAATGTTAGGTTCACGCTGGGGAAACAGGCAGGTGAACTCGCTGTCAGAAGCCCTGCCTAAGTTTCAAGGACTGACCCTCTCACAGGCTGCTCTTAGCACCTGTGCCTTCACACTGCTCAGAGCGTGTTTCCAGGGCAGGACAGTCTACCCAAGACCCTGAGGCCACTCAACTGGCTTCTGCTGGACACTGCACCCGAACATCCAAGAGCATCTGCTCTTCTGCCCTGTTTATCTCTGTAGAGCTAATTATGTGCACATGAATGCAAATTTTCCATGGTTAAAATTGGCAAAAATCCTTTTAATAGCTTTAGTTGGGCTAAAACTGGTTTATTGCATTGCATTTACTTATTATGTGCAATATAGAGAACAGTTGGGTTGGTACAATTACCCCATTAAATTTGATTTTTCATTTTCCTTTTTGGGAGGAAGCGGTACTGGGTTTGAACTTAAGACTTTGAGCTTGCTGGATAGATGCTCTACTGCTTAAGCCACACCTCCAGAGATTTTTTTATTTTGGGGGGGCAAGGGGAGACAGGGGTTTCAACTCAGGACCTCATGCTTGCTAGCCAGGTTCTCTACCACTTGAGCCAAAATAGGGTCTTGCAAACTATTTTGCCTGGGCTGGCCTCAAACAGCATTCCTCCTGATCTCTGCCTCCCCAGTAGCTAGGATTACAGGGCCTGCCTGCACCAGAGATTTCTTGTTCAGTTCCAAATGAATTGTCAGGCTGGCAGTCTCCCTTCCCTCCCACTGTGAGCACCTGCCCTGCTTGCAGAGAGGTCACCTGACTCTTCTAGTGTTTCAGGCCCACATGGGAAGGGTCCCCAGAGGGTCTTTCCACTCACACTGTGCATTCCGGATCCCCACACTGGAATAAGGAAAACGCCTACTTGCAAGTAACTTTTCTTTTTTCTTTTTTTGCAATACTGGGGTTTGAACTCAACGACTCACACATGCTAGGCAGGTGCTCTACCGCTTGAGTCACCCCACCAGCCTGAAAATAAAGAGTTTAGTGTGTGAA